CTGACCCGCGCCTCCCCGAGGCCGACGCCGCCCGGGCAGCGCCCGCAGACCGCCGCCTGGCCCGGGCCCCGCGGTGAGTCTGCCCGGGAGGGGCGCCCAGCCGGGCCCCGGCGCATTGGCTCGGTCCCCCCGGGCCGCTGCCCGGTGACGCGCCCGTAGATCCCTGTGCTCGCAGCAGCGGCCGGCGCCCCCGGGCGGCTCCCCGGGGCCCCCGCGCTCCGCGCCCGCCGCAGCCTGGAGCCGCAGGGCAACGCCCAGGAAAGGATCGCTTTTGAGGATGGAGCTGCCCCTCCCAGACTCGCCTGAGCCCGAGAGCCGGTCCGAGCCATCCCTGTGGCCACGTGCCTGCCCGGCCTCACCGGCTGCCCGATCTGACGGCTGTGAGTGCCCTCCAGCCGCCCCCGTGGTGATCGGTTGCATGCCTGTGGAACGGGGAGAGGGCACTGAGGCTGGGGCTGTTGAAGTAAATAAGAGTTCGCGGGCTGTAAGCCGCGGCGGTGAGCGATGAGCGAAAACAGACTACGGGCGGCACTGGGGAAAGAGAGGGGAGCTGTCGACACTGCCGCTCGGCGCCTGATGCGACGTCACTCGGTCATGGAATACCCGGCGGTCGAGTCAAGCGCGAGGGAAGGAGGCGCTATGCCGCGTGTTCGAGGACCAGCACGCGGGAAGTTCCGAGCTCCGGCGGGACGTGGGCGCGCGGGGCAGGCGAAAGCTGCGGCCAGCTGGAGGTCCTGCTCTGCGCCGCTGCCCGGCGCCCGCAGCCAGGGGGGGCTCCGGGACGGGTCTGCCCCGCGGCCCCACAGGCCCGAGGGGAAGCGCGCTGGGGGCAGAGTCCTGAGAACTCCCTCCTCTAGGCGCGGCTGGGCACCCGTCGCGGCGTGTCCGACGGCAGACCCGGCGGTCCTCGCTGGGCGGCGGCTCCGCCGTCCCCAAACCTTTTTCGGCACCAGGGACTGGTTTCATGGAGACGCGTGTTTTTGGGGGTGGGGCGGCGGCTCAGGCCCCGGTGACGCCACAGCGTGAGCGGCTCCCCATTTCCTTGAGCTTCACGGGTGGGTGCCTGTGCCGTCGGGGGTTGGGGGACTGCAGTCGTGTCTGTTCTGGAGCCCTCCAGTTGTCCGCCTTCCGTCCTTGGTTCGCCCCTGCGCTGAGCCCCTTTCCGCTCCTCCCCTTGCAGGAGGAGGCCCACGGTGGGGGCCCGCGTTCTGCAGGAGTTGAGAGGAAGCGGAGGGTGAGTATCTCAGGTCCCTGGCCCGGCCTCTGCACCCGGCCCGCCTCAGCACCCCGGCCCGGACTCAGCCCCCGCCCGGCGTCAGCACCCCGCCCGGCCTCCTGCACACCCGGCCCAACCCTCACCCCCGGGCCCGGCCGTCTGCACCCCAGCCCGGCCCTCTGCATCCCCGGCCTCGCTCTGCAAGCCGCTCCCCCGCGCTGCGCGCTGCAGCCCCGACCACCGCGGGACGGTACCACTGCTCTCGCCCTGCCCAGCCCCTGGCTTCCTGGACAGCAGGCCCGCTGCAGCGTACCTGAAGGGAAACTGAGGCATCTCAAGACCGCAGATCCAGAATATCGACGGACGGAGGAGGCAGCGAGGCCTCGTGGATCTTCTGAGCGTGCTGGCAGACAGAGACGGGGACAGAGCGGGGGGCCCTTGTTCTCCGTGTGCCTCCGGCCGCCTGGGCTGGCTTTGCCGACTGCAGGTGGCTCGGCCCTTCTGGGCCCTCTTCAGGAAGCTTCCCAGGACCTCCTGCGCGGCCGACACGCAGACCCCAAGCCTGCCGGGAAGTAGTCTTGCTCTCCATCCCAGGTGGAATAAACACGCTATTAAGCACTGCGTACCGTTGCTTTATCACTCCCTGATGATTCGCTCAAATTCTCGCCAAAACACCGTTCCTTCATCCTCCAGAGGGAAGAAGACGAGGTTCCCAGACAGGGACTGGTCAGGATCTCTAGGCAGGGTTTGTTTTATTTTATTTATTTCTTTTTTTGAGTCAGAGTCTCACTCTGTTGCCTGAGCTAGAGTGCCGTGGCGTCAGCCTCGCTCACAGCAACCTCAAACTCAAGTGATCCTCCTGCCTCAGCCTCCTGAGTAGCTGGGACTACAGGCATGCGCCTCCACGCCCGGCTAATGTTTTCTATATATATTTTTAGTTGGCCAATTAATTTCTATTTATAGTAGAGACGGGGTCTCGCTCTTGCTCAGGCTGGTTTCGAACTCCTGACTTTGAGTGATCTGCCCACCTCGGCCTCCCAGAGTGCTGGGATTACAGGTGTGAGCCATCGTGCCCGGCCAGGATGTTTTTATTTTTTTTAGTTACACGTGAGAAGAAACTGAACTCAAATTGGCTCAGGCACAAAACGGGAAATCTGGGCTCGTGGGACTAAAAACACCCAAGGCTTCCAGGTATGGCTTGATCCAGGGGCTCCAACGGCATCTTGGGAAATTTGGTATTTCCTGTCTTAGCTCTTGCTTTAATTACATCCGTCCAGTTCCAAATCCTGCCATCGAGTAAATCTAACTGGCTAGCGTTGAGTCACATGACCTCGGATCACCTTGGCCAGGGCAACGGAAGGCTCTGATTGGCTGGGCTGAGGTCATGTGACAAGACTAGCCCCAGATGCTCCTCCCAAGGACAGTGGAGCCTACACACCATCCCGTGGTCTCGACCCCACTGGCTGACCTCAGGCCAACCCGCCCTCAGTTTCCAGCCTCAGTTTCCCCACCTGTCCTACAAAAACATCACCCGCCCAGTTGCACACACTGGGACTGTTGTCAGGAAAGTGAGAGTGAGGGTGTAGACGTTCCGGATGGCAGGGGCGGGGACCCGCTGTGGGCTCCCCTCCTCAGAAACACGGGGAGGGAGGCCGGGCCGGCAGGAAACACCTTTATTATCGGCTTCGATTTCGTCCGCACGCAGAGTCCGACCAGACGCCCAGGGGATGCGCCGGGCACACGCCACCCGGCCCGGCTGCCCTTCCGGTCCAGACGCCAGGCCTCGGTGGTCCATCACGCCAGGGAAGCCCCCAGCGCCACCAGCCCACAGGTCCACGCGGGGGCGCGGCTGTCCCAGCACCGGCCCCTCCGGCCCCGCCTGCGCCCCGGCCTGGGCGCTTCTGGAAAGGACGAGAGCCAGCGCCTGGACGATCCGTCTCTTTTTGGTTTCGTCATCATTTAAAAAACAGAAAAGACAAAACATTTCACAGTCTTTAAAAAAAAGCAGGAGTCCGAGGGAGAGAGGCCAGGGCCCTGCGCCCTGGGCGGCGCCTCGAAGCCGCGGCACCCGGGTCCCTGGAGGTCCGCGGCGCACGGCCCGCCGCAGTCACTGGCCCGAGCCGTAGGGCCAGTTGAAGGTGCTTCCCGACAGCAGCATGTCGCGGATGAGCGTCTCGATGGGCGTCTTGCCCACCAGGCGCATGAAGAACAGCTGGGAGATGAGCGAGGCGGGCACGGCGCGCAGCGCGGGCAGGCGCAGCAGCAGGCGCCCGAAGCGCTGCGGCTGCGACGGGTACTGGGCGCGCACGTACTCGGTGAGGGCCACCTGCGCCTTCTCCTGCAGGCTCTCCACGTGGGCCGGGTCCGAGAGGCCGCAGGCATCTGGGGGGAACAAGCGCGCGCGCGGCATGAGGGTGCCAGGCGTCAGGAGGACACAGGGCGCGCACAAGTGACACCGCTCGCTTGGTACTGGGGTAAGGCTGGGCGCCCCCCAGGAGGGGGAATATGGGAGCCTGGGACACACGTGGGGGTTATCCAAGGCCGGGTCCGTCCTCATGTGACCAGCGACTCAGGGGTGCAGGCTGGCAGCCATGTTTCAGGGAGGCAGGGAGACGGGTCTAGGTGGGGCCGTGGAGGGGACGTGGGGAGGACGGCACAGCCCGAAGCCCGGGGAACCTGGGGGGTAAGAGGATGAGAAAGCGCCTACAGGGGGACCCATGAAGGTCGGAGGCAGAGAAAAAGAGGCAGAGAAAAGTCTGGGAAAAAGAAGGGTGGCGCAGCCGTATTTATCACATGACCACCACCTGTCCGAGTGGCCTGGGGCTGGGTCCTACATGCCTGGCCCGATGGGCACATCTGGTGGGGTCTGGGGCCTTCCCAGCGGGCGAAGGAAGCCCCAGGGGACAGGCTGGGCAGACGCTTGCCCCAGGCGCAAAGTCCGCTGCGCCACCAGTAGCTGGAATACGGCGGTAGCGCCACCAAGGCTGGGTGGTTACTAAGGTAACCGCCCCGCCCCTCGGTGGGAGGGGCCTCCAGCCACGCCCCCCGCGCCAGTCTCTCTCTCCCCGCCCCCCACTGCCCGGCCACCTAAGGGTTGCCCTGGGGACCCTGAGTCAGGGGTCTGGGGGCCAAGGGGAGCCGGAGCCGGTGTCAGGGACGCCCCCTCCCGCGCCATCAGCGTTCCCCGAGCACGAGGGGCCCCTGGACGAGCGGGTGGGGCCTCAGCTTGGGAGAGCAACCCGGGGCCGGAGCCACGCGGCGCCCTGGGGTCGGGGACGTCCAGGTGTCACTCTGCGCGCCCCCCCCCCCCCCCCCGCGCCGCCCCCGCGGCCACGCACCTGGCGTGAAGAGCGCGATGGCCTTGAGGCAGCCGTACTCGGCCGAGTCCACCTGCAGGCGGCCCAGCTTGTCCACCTGCTCCTGGAAGGCGCGCACCTGGTCCATGAAGGCCACGGCGCGCTCGGCGGCCATGGGCGCGGCGTGCAGCCCCGCGGCGGCCAGCAGCGGCGCGGTGTGCAGCGGCAGCGCCGCCTGCGCCGCGTTCAGCACGAACAGCTCGCTCCAGCTGAGGCGCAGCAGCGCCACCTGGTCGGCCACCGGCAGCTCGGGGAAGAAGGGCGCGTGGCGCGCCCACTCCACCGTGCTGAAGAGCAGCCGCGCCGCCAGCTCGCACACGTTGTCGATGCCCAGCACGGCGCCCGCCGCGCCGCCCCCCGCGCCGAAGCGGCCGGCCGCCGCGGGGTAGGGCTCGGCGCGCAGCAGCTGCGCGATCAGCTCCGACACCGGCTGCCCCGGGAACAGGTCGCCGCCCGCCGCCGCCAGCGCCGAGCCCGGGGGGCTGCCCGAGGCGGCGGCCGCGGCGCCGGGCAGCGAGTGCGGGATGCGGCCGCGCTGCACCGCTGCGGGAGGGCGGGGCGGGGCACGGGCGGGCGGGCAGGAAGAGAGGCAGGAGGGGAAGGAGGGAGAAGAGAGGGGAGACAACAGTCAGCCGCGGGTCACTCGGCCCCTCCGCCCCAGGCCCGCGCGCCCCGGGCCCCGCGCGCCCCGCAGGAGGGGAACCGAGCGCGCCTGGAGCCTGCAGGCCCCGCCCGGCTCCCCGGAGGCCCCCAGCCCGCGCCCGCCCGCGTCCAGCCACCCCGTCCCCCCCAGCTCCCGCGGGCGCAGAGCAGGGTCTCCGTGGCCACCGAGCCACTGGGCGAGGCCCACGCCATGCGGGCCTGAACCCCCGCCCAGACCGCAAGCCCGGCCCGTCGCGGGGGTCCCGGGGCTCAGGACGCAGCGGAGGACTTGGGACCCCAAAGCAAGGGATGAACGCCCGCCAGCGCGTGCTCTCTGTATGGAGATGGGGCCATTCCTCTAGCTTCCCCCGCCCCCACCGGCCCGCCAGATGGTGACCCCCCCCAGGGCAGGCCTCGTCCCTGCCCCTCCCTGCGGAGGCCACCGTGTCTGTCCGGAGTGGGGTCCCCGGTAAACACTGGCCGCCACCAGTAACCTTGTCTCTGAAGCCGGGAGGCCCCAGTGCCGGGTTGGCCCATATCCACAGTGACCAAGTGGGCAAGAGGAGGGAAACTGAGGCACGAAGGAGAGCTGGCGGCACGCCTGCCCAGCCTGTGCCAGAGAGGCGGCCCGGGCTGGGCGCCAGGGAGAGACTAATTAGTGAGCGTTAATGAGTCGGCATGCCCTGCCTCTTCCCCTCCGTGAACTCGGGGTCACCCGGCCACCGAGAGAGCACACACCAGGGCCGGGCACACGCAGGGGCGGAGAAGCAGGGGTTCAAGCCTGCTGCAAGTGATTCTTGAGCCTCAGGGTCAACTGTCAGATGGGAGTAGCCGGACAAGGCCCAAGAGTGGCCCCCCGGCGCCCCCCCAGGGGGGACTTTCTCCTTCCTCTCTCCCTCACTGGGTTGCAGTGGGCCCTCCCTCACCGGGCCACGCTCGCGCCCCAGGGCCTTTGCACACGCGGCTGCTCCGTCTTCCTCAAACCCTTTCCCGGCTCTTCCTCCTCATCGTCCAGGCCGGGCTGAAAAGGTTCAAACCCTAACCCTACTCTGTTGCCCTCTGATCTGGACACATGGCCTCACTGATCTGTGCCTCAGTTTCCTCATCTGTAAAATGCAGAGGATGATGATGATGATGACACAGATAGCTGAATTAAGTGAGACTCTATATGACTCGCTCAGTTATATAAATGGCACCTGCCACGGAGGAGACGCTAAACGGATAATTCAAGCCAAGAACCACATTTATGGAGCACCAACTGTGGCAGGCCCCGGTCAGCCGTGGGGACATATCAGTGGATGGGACAGACAAAGCCCTGCCCTCAGGACTGTGGGAAGCGGACAGGAGGGCAATCCAGAGGGCCTCTCAGAGGAGGTGATTTTTTATTTTTATTTTTTTTGAGACAGAGTCTCCCCTCTGTTGCCCGGGCTTCAGTGCCGTGGCGTCAGCCTCGCTCACAGCAACCTCAGACTCCTGGGCTCAAGCGATCCTCCTGCCTCAGCCTCCCGAGTAGCTGGGACCACAGGCATGCGCCACCATGCCCGGCTAATTTTTTCTATATATTTTTAGTTGGCCAATTAATTTCTTTCTATTTTTTAGTAGAGACGGGGTCTCGCTCTTGCTCAGGCTGGTTTCGAACTCCTGACCTCAAGTGATCCGCCCGCCTCGGCCTCCCAGAGTGCTGGGATGACGGGCCTGAGCCACCTCGCCCGGCCAGGAGGTGATGTTTAAGCAAACCTTGAAGGAGGTAAAAGAGGGAGCCATGCAGGCGTCGGGAAAGGCGCGCTCCGGGCAGAGGGGGCAGCCTGTGCAGAGGCCCTGGGGCGGGACTGCGCTCGGGGCAGGAGTTGTGACTGTGACTGTCTCCGCCCCTGAGACTCTGGAGAGCTGAGGCCTTGCTGGGGACTGTCTCAGGATCTTAGGTGGAATGGACAGGCACTGGCAAAAGCCAGGGTGCAGAGGGACGACGAGAGTCATCTCAAAACTTAAAAGGGCCAAAGGGAGCGACCAGACGGCTCCTAAGACTCTGAGCAGCTTCTCCCACAGAGCTCTGCCAAGAAAGAAACTGAATGCAAAGCAGGAGAGGCTCAGGTCAGATGCTGGGGGAACCGCCGGCCTGGCCCCTGACCCAGCCCAGGCGGGGCCCTCTCTGGGTTCCACCTGAGTTCTCAGGGCGCAGGGCGGGGCTGCAGGGCCAGCTGCGGGGCACGCGCGTCCAGCCAGGTCCCCGGGGCCGAGCAGGGGAGGCTGGGCGGGCTCTGGCTCCTGGCGCCCGGGGTCGCGGGCAGGGCAGGCTGCCCTTTGCCTCACTCGGGCAGAGGCCCTGCCTTGGGCGGGCACCGGCCGCGGCGCAGGGTGGAGGGAAACCAAATCAAATAAAAACACATATCCCTGTTCGGAAAGCAGCGGCCAGGCGAGGGGACGAGGAGGTCACCGAGATGTCGGGGCCGGGGAGGAGCGGAGGAGGGGGCTCCTGGGGAAGGCGGGGGCTGGAGAAGCGGTAAGGTGGGCCCCAGCGGTCCCCGGCCTCGACCAGGAGGCCACGGGCCATAACTGGATTCCTCCGGCCTCGGCCAGCCCGAGGGACCCAGGGATCGCCGGCGACAGGGCGAGCAGGCGCCAGGCCCCGCCCCGGGGACTCCCAGACCCGAGAGAGGGCAGCCAGGGCCAGAAGGGCGAGGCCGCCCGCCCGCCCTGCTGGGCCGGGCCTCAGGGTGCGGCCTCCCCCGGCGGGCGCTCACCTTCCTTCCTCATGCCCACCCGGAAGCACTTCTTGAGGCGGCAGTACTGACACTGGTTCCGGTGATGCTGGTCGATCTGGCAGTCACGGTTGGACCTGGGGACAGGCAGAGGCCAGGGCGACCTGTGACACCCTCACCTTCCTCCCCAACCACCCCATGAGCTGCCCCCGAAAAACACCAGTGGGGTGGGGTTCCCCGGACTGGGCGGGTGGCCCCAAAGGGGAACAGGGGCTCTGCTGGCAGGTCTACAGAGAAGAAAGGACAACTGGGGTGAGCGGTGACGAAAAGTAGATGAGCACGTGTTGGAACTGGGTTTTGAAGGATGAATAGGAGTTCCCCATCGGGAACGGAGAGGCGATTCCAGGCAGAGAGGGTGCAGCCAAAGCGGAAGGTTTGAAATGAGAAAATATGGAAGCCTGGACAGTTTCGCTGTATTTGGTCACTGAGTGAGGTCATTGTCCCAAGGAGGATGTAAAAGCAGGTGGGGACATGGTCGGGGAGCTGGGCTTTCTGAATTGACTAGGGGCCAGGCCAGGTGCCAGTCATCTGCGTGGAGCCCCAGTATGGGGGCTGCACAAGGCCCGCACCAATGAATGAATGAATGAATGAATGAATGGACTCCTGTCGCCCCCCCTGAAGGTCCCACGGCCATATCCGGTCCTCTGGGAAGACTGTCCAAGGCCTAAGCGAGCGCAGGACACTTCCTCCGCCAGGCTGTGGGGCGTTGCCGTTGCCTCTTCCGGGGGTGGGACAGGTGGCCCCAGCCTGGGAGGCCATCACTCCCGCCAGGGCCAGCCCCAGGCAGGAAGGCTTAGGCCTTGTCCTTCACATGTCCCTAGAATGTCCTCCCCTTGGCCCCGCGGCCTGGGCCAGACATCACGGGGGTCCCCGCGGGGCACCCGGAGACAGTCGCCAGAGCAAAACCCACCCTCAAACGCTTAAAGGGATGAAGCAGGCGCATCCCGGCCGCAGACACCCCGGCTGGACCCTCAGGTGGCGGCTGCCCTACTGAGCCTCAGTTTCCTCACCTGGAAGGGGGGGGGACATCAGAGCCCGCCCTGAAGGGGAGGCGCTGCATCGCGGGCCCCAGCTGGGCAACCCAACAGCGGGGCTGGGCGAGTTGGGTCTCTGGGGGCCCCGGAGTGCCTGGGCCCTGCGGGGGCGCCGGGCAGAGGCCCCGCCGGGCAGAGGGGCTCGGGCAGGGCCAGAACAAAGCCCGGCGGAGAGGCCGTCCGGCGGTGGGAGGGCCGAGGGCAGCCGGGTGGAAACCTCCAGGCCCGGGGCGGGGAGGCAGGCAGGGGTGCGGCGGGGGCGCCCTGACCGCAGGGGAGGCCCTGAGCCTTCAGTCTCCGCTTCCACGCTTCCCCAGCTGTGGAACGGGGACAGACCTGTCCCCCTAGATCGGGAAACAGTTCTTCCTGCTATCCCAACCTGAAGAGTACATGCTTTGCCCAGCCCCTTGGCCCAAATCCGCCCTCCTCTGGGCTTCTGGCCTCTGGTCCAATTTGCTCACAGCCCTGCCCCACTCACATACCCTCCATGGCTCCCTATTGCCCCCAGTCCGGCATTTCAGGCCCATCGGACTCTGGCTTCTCCCATGCCTGGGCGGTCTCACCACACAGCTGCCGCAATCTGCCGCTAAGAGTTTGCCAGGGCCACACACTGGAGTGCCCTTGGCCCTCCTCTGACGGCCGGACCCTTCATGTTTCAGGGCCCACTCCCTCCCCGCCCCCCCCTCCTCTGGCCAGCCCTCTCTGACCCCCAGCAGAGGCCTTTGCTTCCTCCCTGGGACCCCCAAATCCCACAGGCTTGGGGCTGGGGCCTCTCTGGGGAAACTGGCAACAAACCCCCCAGGCTGGGTCCCCGCGGGACTCTGCTCAGGATGGGTCACACGGCTCACAGCTGCCAGCTCCAAACAATGCCCCTGGCTTGGTGCTCCCGGACCCCAGCCTGGGGAAGCCCCTGGGCCCCCAAAACTGCCTGAGCCCCCTCCCTTGTCCTCCCCAAAGTCACGGCCAGGGAGCAGGCAGTTGTTCCAGGAGCAAGAATGAGGCCAAAGTCTGGTGGCCCAGTTAGCGCTGGAGGAGGGAGCCAGCCGGCTCTGCCACACAGAGCCACCCCAGGCAGACCTTGACCCGGGACCCGGGGCCAAACTCCAGCCTCGGGTGCCCTACCCGGTGACCTTAGCCAGCTGTCCCTGGGGACACCTAGCCCAGACTGGGCTGCCCCCTTCACAGCCCCGCCGTTCCCCTTGCTGCGCCCCAACTCGGGCTGTGTCCCTCCATGCGAAACCCGGAGACCGGCACCTGACCCCTCTGGGCCTCAGCTCTGTGCATCTGGGAAATGGAACTGTCTATACTGGCTCTGCAGAGACCATGCCTGTTTCCCGGGGGGCGCAGAGCAGGGACTTGTCACTCCCTAAGGGGCGGTGAGAAAAGAGGTCCCCTGGGCTGGACACCCAACCCCAACCCCTTTCCCCGGGGCGCCTTCCGCCCCCAACACCCGACCTGACCAGCCAGCGAGGCCACGCCCTGCGGGAGCGGACTCTGGGGACGGCCCGGGGCTCCTGCGAACATTCCACGCGCAGGGGCGAGAGACCCGAAGTTCGGGGGATTTTCCGGGAGCGCGGGGCCTGCACCCACCCCTGGGCCAGGGCGGGCGGTTCGGCCAATCCCGGCGGCCCCGGCGGCCCTCCAGCGGCGGCTTCCGGTGCCCCAAGGCCCCCCGGGTGCGCCCCGCGGGGCTCCCCGCTGACCGGCAGGCCCAGCGCCCCGCCACGCCAGGGCCCCTCCCGCGAAGGAGGTCGCCCTGCGCCACCCGGCTGCTTCCCGCGGCCGCTTCGGGAGCCAGGGCGACTTTGGAAGTGATCTTTGACCCCAAGGGCGCGCCATATCGATCCGCGCGGCCGCAGACAATGGGCCCTGGACGCCGCGCGCGCCCCACGGTCCAAGTTCCACGTTCGATTCCCCCGGGGGGACCCCCGCACGCCGCGGTCGGCGAGAAGGGGTGCCCTGGGGCCAGGGCCCCACTCGCGACAGCACCCCTGCCCCCTCCCCGCGCGGAGATGACCCCTCCCCAGAGAGAAGGGAGGAAGGAGGAAGAAGTAACTGGGCTGAGAGCCGCCAGGGACCGTCTGACGGGGGGAACCTGCATCTACGCAGCGCCGACTGTATACACAACCCCAGGAAGGGAACTGGGGGCGGTGGCGCCGCGCCCCTGTCCCAGAAGGGGCGCGGAGGCCCAGGGAAGGTCAGCGCCGGGCCCAAGGTGACCGCGAGGGTCAGAGGCCCGCCGGGCCGGCCGGGCGGGGGCTCACCGGCAGGTGTAGCTGAGGTTGCGGCGGACGCTCCGCTTGAAGAAGCTCTTGCAGCCCTCGCAGGTGAAGACGCCGTAGTGCTTGCCGCTCGACTTGTCGCCGCACACCACGCAGTCCACCTGCAGCCCCGGCCGCTCCTCGTCGCCCGGCTCGGCGTCGCTGGCAGCCCCCGGGGGCGAGGCCGAGTCCTCCTCGGCGGCGCGCGGGTAGCCGCCCGCCTTGTCCACGCCGTTTGTGTCGCCGCCAGGGCCGCCCCAGCCGCCGGTCACCATGGCCATAGCCCCAGGGCAGCGGGGCCGGGGCGCCCCCTCTGCGCTCTTCCCTCCACGCACCCCGCTCGGCCCGGGGGACCCTACCCGGCGCGCATCCGGGCCCGGCGCGCGGGGGGCACCGGCTGCACCCCCCAAAAAAGTTTTGCAGCAACTTCCTGCGGCCGGCCCGCGCGCCCGGGCGGAACTGGTCGGGCCGGTTCCAGGCCAACTTTCCCACGCGTGCGCGGGGCCAGGCCCGGGCCCGGGAGGGGCGCGCTAGAGACGCGGCCCGGGGGCCCGGAGGAGTCGCGCCCCGCCGCCCTGGGCCCCGCGGGGCGCGCGGGCCATGGCCCGGCCCGGGCTGCGCAGGGGCGCCCTGTGGGCTGGCCGCCGCTCGGCCCGGGGCTGCGGCCAACTTAGCGGGCCGCCATCCGAGCGCGGGGGGCCGGGGGCAAAGTTTGGCCGCAAGTTGCGCGCCGCCCGCGGCGCGGGGGGAAGGGCGGGCGGCCGCGCGGGCCGGTCGCCGCGCCCCGGGGCCCCGGCGCCAGCGGCGGCAGCTCGAGGCCTGCGGAGCGCCGGCCAGCGCCGCCGAGCAGCCGCCCCCGCCGCGGCCGCGCCCGCCTGGCCTGGCCTGCGCCTGGCCCGAGCCTCGCTCTCGCCGCCGCCGCCGACCCCGCGCGCCGCCTCGCGCTGCGGCCGGTTTGACCACACAACGTTCCATCCGCGGGGCGGGCGGCGGCGGGGGCGGGGCAGGGGCGCGCGCCGCGGGCTGGGGCGGCGCTCGTTGCCCGCGACGGCCGCCCTTTATAGGGCATGGGTGGCCGCGCGCGGCGCGCCGCCCGGCGGCGGGAGGGACGGGGCGGAGCGCGGGGCCGCCGGCCTGACCCTCCCCCTCCGCCCTCCCCGCCGCCCGCGCCCGCTCCAGCCTTAACCCCCGGCGGGCCGCGGCGGGGGCTGGGCCCGGCCGCCCTGCGCCCTCCCGCCAGCCTCGCCTGCACGGCTCTCCAAACCCTCCCCGCCACCTCTGGCCTGGGACGCCGCGTCGCCCGACCGCCTTCCGGGCGCCCCCCTCCGGCGCGTTCCCGGCTGAGGCTCCGACCGGGGCCCCGTGGCGCCCGGGGGCACGCCCCTGTGCGGGACGCGCACACCGCGGAGCGTTTCTCTGCGCGGTTGCGTGATGGACTGTGTTCGCATCCCCTTCCCGAGCCGCCGCGCCAGGCCCCCTCCCCCGCCTGGGTGAGCACCTGGAGCCTGCAGTCTGGGGGAGGGACGTGTGGTCTGAGGCCGGCTGGCCGGCGAGGTCAGGGGCCCCGCCAGAATTGCAGGCCTCTGGGGGCAGGGCGCCCACCTCCCCGCCGGCCTGCCCCTTCCCCTTTCATTTCCTTTCCTTTCTGTGCTCCGCAGAAAGGGCTTGGCCTGGCGGCCAGCTGGACTGCAGATGTCTTTTCCAGGCTCCCTGGAGCCTTCCAGCTGCCACCCGCCTCCAACGCCCCCACCACTGTCCCACCCAACCCTCCAGACTTGGGGCCGGGGCCCTGCCAGCATGTATTAAGCACCGTTTGTATGCAAGGTCTTGGCCTCCTGAGCAGGGAAAGCCTGAGCCTCTGGCTCTGGGCCTGTTAACATTTAACCTGCTGCAAAACAGCCCTTGGGGTGACCTTTCACCCTGGAGTCCCTCGGGCCCTGCCACCCAGCCTGTCCTCCGCCCAGCCCTGGGCCCAGAGCTGGACACGGAGGCTTGTGGCCGGGCCTCTAGAGCTCCGGGCAGGACAGCCATGCCCACCTGCTCACCGGTCCTTATGAGACTGGAGGGGCACCCTCCCGGGGGGGGGGGGTGGGAAGATGCTTGGAGATCATGCAACACTTAAAGGGAAACTGAGGTTCAGGGAGAGCAGACACACCTAGCCCTGGGCCCCTTGATCTCCCCCAGGGAAGGTCTGGCTGAGTGGGAGGCAGAGGAGGCCTCAGTAAATACAGAAAGCAGGAAGGAGGAGGGTTAGACATGAGGAAGGACTTCCCAGGGGCCTGACTGGAGTAGGGCTGGACCCACAGGCCGATGTAAGCCCCGCTGGGGGGGTGGGGGAGGGTGGTCTGGGTGGGCAGAGAGGGCCTTCTGGTTCTGGGGCTGCTGGGCATGCAGGGACGTGGCCGGGTTTTGGGGGTGAGGACAGGGAACATAGGTCCCTGGCCTGGATCTGCCGGGATCCTCGGTAGGCGGGCCTGGGGTGGGATCTCAGAGGAGGGATTAAGTAGGGGGCGTAGAAGGGAGCGGAGGGTCAGGGAAGCGAGGGGGGAGCCCGGTCTAGCAGAGGGGGCTTAGCAGGGGGCCTGGGGCTGGGCGAGAGATGGGCAGAAGGACCACCACAGACCCCAGAACCTCCAATAGTTTCAGTCCGCCCAGCCGGCCCGCCTGGGGGGTGGGTGGAGGCTCGGCCCCGCCCCCCTGACCCCTGCCCGTGGCCCCGCGGTGACATTTGACCTTGCGGCAGCCACAGACCAGGGACAAAAGGGCCTAGGCCCATCTGCCCCCGGGGCGCCCGTGGGAACAGTCGGACTGCGCTCAGGAGGCCTGGGAACCTGCCCCGCCCCCTCCTGCAGGTGACCTTGGCTCCCTTCGCCCTCCCACGGGCAACCTGGTGGAACCGGGGGCTAAGGTCACTCTGAGACTCTTGGGGAAGGGGGACAAGAGGGAGGAAATTCAGCTCCTCTGCCCTCCACCCACGGACAGGGTGGCCTGCCTCAGTTTCCCTGCTTTCTTCAGAGCCAGAAGCCGGGTCCAAAGAGAGTGCTGGGGTCCAAAGGTCACCAGGGCAAGAGCACTCACTTGGGAGGACTGTGTCCCCCTCCTTTCATGTTCTGCCTCTCAGGTCAGGGGGACCTGAAGGTTCAGGCCCTGTGCCGCCCCTGGGAAAGGCAGCGCCCCCCCACACACACACACACACACACACACACGCCTGCACAGGTGTGGCCTGGAGCGCCCGCCCCACCCCCACCCCCAAGCTGGAGACCGAAACCTTTCTAATCCCCCTGTCTTGGGTTTCAGCTACTGCCCAGGAGGGGACAGCTGGCCACTAATCCCACCCCAGGCCCCCTCTCCTGACCCAGCCAGCCCGCTGCGCAGGGGTGGGGCTGTGGCCTATGCAAATGACATGCTAATCAGCTGCCTGCTCTCAACCTGGCCCGAACACTCCCTGTAGCTGCTGCCCCCCAAGAGAAAGCCCAGCTTCTCAAGCTGGACGCAGCGGTCCGGACCTCCTTGCCCTCCACTGCCACGTACACCGAGTTCCTCTCCAAGTACAATGCCACCCAGTTCCAGGCTTTCACCTTTGCTGTCGCCTACACAGAAATCTTATCTGCCCTTTAGGAGCAGACCGCACGCTGAACTTGAACCTTTCAGCCTCAGTGTCCCCCTCTGGGATATGGGTATCTTCCTCTTCGAGACCGTCCGCCAGGGATGGGTGGGGAAGGATGTGTCCTATGCCCGTGGGGCCCCCTCCCTGGGCTCACGGGGCAGAGGAGAGGTGGTGGAACTTCAGCTCGGGTTGTGCACCCTCCCCGACCTTCGAACTGCCCGGGGACCTGGCCTCGCAGCCCAGGTGGCTTTGGGCCGCTACCCACTGGACATACCAAGAAGTTCACAGCCCACATGGTGCCAGACCCAAGACACTGAGTCCTCCTCGAACGCTTGGACACCCCCCTTCAGGCCCTGGACCCCCATGTGCACCAGCCCCCGTCTCGCCAAGTGCACCCCAAAGCACAGAGGCATGCCACGCGACATATGCCACTCCAGGGCAGTTTATGACATGGCCTGCCACCGCTGTCTGGCACGTCCAGACACGGCTGGGTGCAGGGCCTACAGAAAGGTCTCCCCCAGTCGGGGAGCCGGGCGGGGTGGCCTGGGCTTCCCCAGCGCCCCTGCGGTGGCTTCTAGCACTGCCAGCTCCTTGGCGTGCCGGCTCTCCATGAGTACCATCTGCTGCTCCAACTTCCGGCGTTGCTCCTCCTGCTTCCGGTGGGCTCCTCGGAAGGCCAGGACCAGGGCGCTGGAGGTGAGGGGGACGGCTCAGCCAGGCCCGGCAGGGGCTGTGTGCAACCACTGCCAGGCTGGGAGCTCTTGGCGCTTGGGTCTTCCTGGGCCCCCTGCGTCACCCGGTCAGGGCTGGGCATACATCAGGCATCAGGGGAGGCGTGGTGGGATGGAGGGAAGCTGAGGCCCGGGGAGACCCAGGAATGCCCCCGAGATCGCGGCAGGGGAGGCACGAGCCGGGGCGCGCACCTGTGAGCTTTGCATAGATCGCCGTTCAGCTCAGCACTCTGAGCCCGCCTGGCTCGCCCCTTCTGAGCCACCTGTTCCAGCTTCTCCCGCAGAGACCGGAGCTGCTCTCGCAGGTCCCCGGCCCTGAGGCAGGGGTAGGGAGGGGGGGGCTTCACAGCCACAGCCAATCCCATCTCCCTCCCCGCTCCCACCCACCTGCCCACGGCGTTGCCATGGGAACGCACCTGTACACAGGTGCACACCTTGCCCTCTGCCACGCACAACATCCCCGTGGGCTCTCGGGTAGGCCCCCCGCCCTCGGCCCAGGCCCCAGGCCCCAGGCCACACCTGGTGAGCGAGGCTGCCAGTTCCTGCGCTAATTTCTCTGGATCCCACACTCTGCCCGCCTGGCCTCCATCCATACCACCTGTGCCACCAGGGACAACAAGCGGGTTCTAAGGGCGGCAAGGAGAGAAGGAAGTGACGTTAGTCTAAGCCTGTGTGCGCTCAGCCCAAGCTGGACATGGCAGCCGCCCCCGGGAGCCCTCAGTGTGGTGAGATGTCCCCAATAAGGGCAGAATTTAAGTGAATAACAACAGGGGACCTCATCCGAAGGCAGTCCAGGAGGGCTTCCTGGAGGCAGTGATGTTTAAGCTCAGACCTGCGGAGGGGGCGCGGGGGGCTTTATTCACACCGAGGGAGGTGACCAGTGTTCCTGGCAGGGTGTGGCATGTACGAAACCCTGGAGGTGGGAGACAGGTCTCGAACCGCTCTAAGAAGCCTGAACTTCGGGAGTTCTAGAAGCCACTGAAGGCTTTAAGCAGAGGACAGGCATGATCAGACGGGAATGGGGGAAAGGGAAAGGACCGAGAGAGGAGGCTGGTGCCAAAATCTAGGAGATCAGCCTCGTTGGGGGCAGTGGGGACGGGGGCAAAGAAGGGGGAACACGGACAAGCCTGGGGGTGGGGAGGAAGAGGTTCAAGTTCAAGTGGAAGATGCTAAGCCCCGTGGGCTCGACACGCTCCGAGAAAGAGACCCCAAAGTGCAGGTGGGAGCTTTGGCGAGAAGCATGACCACGCCACTTGCTTCTTTGTGCAGAAACGGAAACTGAGGCTCAGAGAGGGCTGTGATTGGCCACAGAGCCAGCGGCACGCGGCTGTCCCCGCCAGGCCCAGACAGGGCTGCTCACCGGGGCCCACTCCTCCTCTTCCCCGCTGCTGCCGCCTCCGCTGCTGTCGCCGCCGGCCGCGAGCTGCGCGCGCTCCCACCGCAGCTGCGCCAGCAGGAGCGCGTGCGCGGGGCCCTGCGCGCGCAGCGCCGCCTCCCGCAGCTCCAGGCCCCGCTTCTCGCGCCGCGCCAGCTGCAGCCGCAGCACCAGGTCCGCCAGCGCCTCCTGAGGGACCGAGGGTGTGTGTGGGGGGCAGAGAATTTGTGCCTCCAGGGTCCACTTCTGGGGAAACCGAGGCCCCAAGAGGTACCCACTGAGGACAGGTTAGGCAAAAACTCCGAGCTTCGCCAGGACCTTTCCTCCCTTGAGAGCCACAGCTGTAGAAATGGTACGGATCCCAGACAAGGCCAGGCAGCAGCTCCGCGGAAGCTTCTGGAGTTTCCCCAACTCCAGATCCTCAGGTCGTTCATACCAGACCACAAAAGCCATAGTACCTTCCCTGTCCCCACCTCTTCCCACAGGAAGGGCATTTTGGAAAGCCAGATTCAGAGTTGCATGATAAAGAATCCGTATAGGAGCAACCCTATTCTGTTCAAAAACCTCGGCTGCAGGTGGCTCACGCCTGTGATCCTAGCTCTCTGGGAGGCGAGGCGGCGCGGATTTCGAGGTCAGGAGTTCGAAACCGCCTGAGCAAGAGCGAGACCCGTCTTACTATAAATAGAAAAAAATTAATTGGCCAACTAATTATAGAGAAAAAATTAGCCAGGCGTGGTGGCGCATGCTGTAGTCCCAGCTACTTGGGAGGCTGTGGGCAGGAGGATCGCTTGAGCCAGGAGTCTGAGGTTGCTGTGAGTGAGGCTGACGCCCGGCACTCACTCTAGCCTGGGCAACACAGCGAGACTCTGTCTCAAAAAAAAAAAAAAAAAAAAAAACCAGCTCCAATGCCTCTTCCTCCAAGAAGCCCGCCCGCAACCCAGCAGAACTCTCTTTTTGCTCCGTGGTCCCCCAGCCGCATCCCTCCTCCCAGCCCCGTCGAAGGGCTTTCCCCAACCAGGAAGGACGGGCACAGAGTGGCCAGAGCTCGTCAGTACCCTTGTGTCCACCAGGTCCTGCTGGATCTGCGTCTTTTCCAGCCGGGGCAAGGCCGGGCCAGGCTGGGCCCCAGCATCGCGCCTGCACGATGGGTCTGCCGGGGCAGGTGGGCGTGTGCCAGGGGGGTCCGGGCTCGGGGGGGATCTTCACCACAGCACGGCGCTCCTGGAGACGCCGGATGTAGCCTCGGAGCTGGACGGCCACCTCCTGCAGTGTGGGCTTATCCACGCTGCTGCCCTCCGGGCTACAGAGGACAGGAGGGGCCTGTGTCACAGTGGCAGGCACGGCGCTGGGTGAGCTTCACGCCAACCCTGGTAGGGTCCCCCATCTTCCATCGCCCTGGCCCGGGTGGATCCTGTGCCACCTGTGGTGGGGCCTGTCACACCAACATGGTGGGCCCGTAATGTGAACCCCAGTGGGCACCATCTTCCATCAAGGCAACATGGTAGGCCGGGCGTGGTGGCTCACACCTGTAACCCTAGCACTCTGGGAGGCCGAGGCGGGCGGATTGCTCGAGGTCAGGAGTTCGAAACCAGCCTGAGCAAGAGCGAGACCCCGTCTCTACTATAAATAGAAAGAAATTAATTGGCCAACTAATATATAGAGAAAAAATTAGCCAGGCATGGTGGCGCATGCCTGTAGTCCCAGCTACTCGGGAGGCCGAGGCAGGAGGATGGCTTGAACCCAGGAGTTGGAGGTTGCTGTGAGCGAGGCTGACGCCACGGCACTCACTGTAGCCTGGGCAACAGAGTGAGACTCTGTCCCAAAAAAAAAAAAAAAAAAAAGACAACATGGTAGATGCCATCACGCCAACCCTATGGGCCCCACTGCTCATGCCAACATGGCGGACACCATCACGCCAACCCGATGGGCACCGTCACCCAGATTGACAGCCCTGTCTGGAGGCATCGGGCCAACCCCATGAAGCACCATCATGCCAGTTCTAATCAGTGGGCACCGTCATCCATCTTCATGCCAACCCCGGTGAGTCCCATGCCAACCCCAAAGGCTGTCAGCCACCATGCCAACCTTCTTAAGTAGCACCAGGCCGACTCCAGTGGGGCCCCGCGTCAACCCGCCGCGGCGAGTGCTGCACCAGCCTTGCTAGGCACAGCCATGCCAACCCCAATACGTGGCCAGCCCTGGAAGCCACATTACCCGGTCAGGGCCTCACTCCCTGGCCAGTGTGGTTCCCAGGGTCCCCAGGGGTACCTCGGCTGTGGACCCTGCAGTGTCCCTCCATCCATGGCAGCCTCTTCTTGTGCCAGCAGCCTCAGTGCCTCCTTTTCAGCTGCCTGCGGGTCCCCTGCTCCTGAGTCGGCCTCCCGCAGAGCAAGCAGGGCCCCGAGCGCCTCCTCACAGTGCTCACTGTGGGACACTGGTTCTGAGTGCTTTAGGCCACCCAGCTCCATCTTGCTGTGCAGGTGCCAGTCCCCACTTGCTCCTGAACCCCTCGCTTCTTCCCCCCGCCCTCACCTGCGGAAGCATGCAGACTCCCTCGGCAGCCCCGGATTGGAATTGTGCTCAATTAACTTCTGTGCGGGGGAAGTGCCCTCTGGCAAGGGCTCTGTCTGCCTCTGTGGATTGGGGCCACCCTAGGAGAGCCCACTGCCTCTCCAGCCAGAGACATCGTTGGCAGGGTGCACTGACCTGTACTGCAAGGCCAGACGGAGTGCTGTGGCCTCGGCCTCCCGCTGGCTGAGCTGCATGCTGAGGCCCTCACAGCGGCCCTTGTACCCCTGGAGCACAGCTGACAGCAGACGGTTAAAGCATTTGAGCTTCTCGATGCTCCTGCCTCGGAAGGTGGGGAAGAGGGGAAGTGAGAGGCCTCTCGGGGCAGTCAGGGCCTGATTTCCACCCTTCTTCTCACTCCTGCTCCAAACTCCTAGGTTTATAATTCGGGGTTGGGGGGTGGGATGTGCCCGTGCCCTTATGAGCTCAGCATGGGAGGCTCTCTTACCCCTGGAGCTGCTCCATCTGGGTTTCCATGATGTGCATCTCGGGGGTGAGGGGCTGGGTGGGGAGAAGAATCTGGGCGCTAGAATTGCTCCAGAGGCGCCGGAGCAGGGGGTGAGCCAGGGAGAAGGGGTCCTGCTGGGAAGAGGTCATGTGATTCACCCAGATAGTCACCAAGAGCTCAGGATTGTGAGTTTACCCCTTTTCCAAACCCAGAAGCTATTGGGTCCCACGACCAGGATTTGACTGTCATCCCCCTGAATGCTAAGGGCATCAGGACCATGGCTTTGAGCTTCTCACACTCACCTGAGTCCCCCAGGGCTCCCCATCTGCCCCAGAGCTGCTGGAACCACTGCCCGAGCCACCCGCTTGGCTGTGGGAGGGAGGTGGGAAGGGCTCCAGCCTCAGCAGGGAATCCTGCAGCTCCTGAACCTGGAGAGGATGACGATGAGGAGGGGGTGTCAGGCCTGGAGGCTCCAACCAACCCCCAGCACCCCCCACCCCAGGGCCTGTTCCTGGGGAAATAGCAGTAGCCCTGGCTGGAAGGCAGGAACCTCAGATATGCACCCTGCCAAACCCCCCACCGTATCACCTTGGGCATGTCTCTCGGCTGCTCAAGATTGACCTTTCCCAGCAGGGAAACAGGCCCTCCTCTGGAGGGAAATGAATTCATTCATTCATTCATTCATTCAGAGTCTCGCTTTGTTGCCCAGGCTAGAGTGAGTGCCGTGGCGTCAGCCTCGCTCACAGCAACCTCAGACTCCTGGGCTCAAGCGATCCTCCTGCCTCAGCCTCCCGAGTAGCTGGGACTACAGGCATGCACCACCATGCCCCACTAATTTTTCCTGTATATATTAGTTGGCCAATTAACTTCTTTCTATTTATAGTAGAGACGGGGTCTCGCTCTTGCTCAGGCTGGTTTTGAACCCCTGACCTCGAGCGATCCGCCCGCCTCGGCCTCCCGGAGCGCTAGGATGACGGGCGCGAGCGTAAAAGCGTTTTGAGTGAACACTCGCATGAACGTTGCCCGGCGCGCTGAGACGGGGAGCCCGGGGCTGGGGTGCCTTGCTCACCTCCCTCTGCAGCTCCTCCTTCTGGGCCCGGATGCTCTGCAGGGAGGCCTGCGTGCGGACCAGCTCGTTCTCCCGGCTGCCCAGGGCCAGCCGGAGCCAGGCGTTCCTCTCTGCCAGGCACGCTGCCTCCTGCGGGCGGCCCCCTGCCCCCTCCTGCTTCCCCAGGGGCCCCGGGCCCCCCTGGCCTCTCCCCTCCGCCTCCGTCCGCCCAGGACAGCTTGGGGGGCGGTGGCGCCAGGCAGCAGCCGCCGCCTCCAGGGAGCTCAGGGCATGTTGGAGGGTCTGAAACACATCGGGGGGCCCAGTCCCCGAGGGGACAGTCTCTCCGTCCGGCAGGGCTGCCTCTGGGGCCTGGTGGGCTGCCGCTGCAGGCTCACGGGGGCCCCCAGGGGCCGAGGCCGGTCCTCTGCCGGAGTGCCCGCCGGTCTCCTTGCCAGTCCTGTGAACACCAACTTAGGAACTTGAGCCACCCGGTGCCGGGCGGCCAATTCTGGGGGCTTAGACGCTGGGGGGCTTGGGAGGGGCGAGCAGGCCGGGAGCGGGCGCAGCTGCGTGTTCCGGGGCTGGTGTCCGGGGCCGCACAGGGAGGAGCCCGGACAGCGGGCCGGCGGGGAGGCCTGGGCCGGGGAGGCGGCGTGAAGAACGAGCCGCAGCGGGCGAGGCGAGGCGAGGAAGGGCGCCCGGGCAGAAGGCACGGCGCAGGCAAAGGCCGGGAGGCGAGAGGCGGGAGGTTCTGGGCGACCGGCACACAGGGGCTGTGTGGCAAGGCCGGGGATGCGTTCTGCAGGGCTGAAAGTTGGGCTGAGGGCAGTGGGGAGCCATGGCAGGTGTGCGAGCAGGGGAGGGGCGTCGGCAGGTCCGCGGATGGCAAAGATGGGCCTGGGCATGGACCCAGCGGGTCTTACCTGCTCCCTGGGCCCTGGCCACTGACTCCTGCCGTGGGCCCCGACGACGCTGGTCCGAAGCTGTCGGGAGGCAGCACGGGGCTGGGCTTGGAGGTCCCACTGGCTGCCTCGGCCTCCTCTGAACTCTCGGCCACCGGATCCAGTTCGCCCTGCGAACAACCCCCGGGGCCCAGCTCTGAGCCAGGCAGGGCCGGACACTGGGGGCCCATGGGGCCGGGTAAGTGGGGAAAGGGGGACACTTACTGGCGCAGCATGCCTCCCTCGCCGGCTTCGGGGCCGTGTGGCCCGGGCACTCATTGCTGTCCAGAAGCCGGTGCCCTCTGAGTGCTCCGTTCTCACCCCTAAAATCACAGCCTGCTCTCGCCTCTGGCCTTTGCTGTCCTGGGCTTCAATCTCGTCTTCCGTGAAATGGGGCATGGAATTCTCTCCTGGAGGGGGCCTTCAGTTATTAGTGTTGATTAGGCACGCTCGAATGCCTCCCTTGACGGGCAGCTCACTACCTCAAGGTTGCCCTGACCGCCCCTTTCTTCTCTGCCTCCTTTACTTTCACTACCTCTGTGCTCCCCTCCCTCTGCCATATGGACCTCGGAATGGGACCCCAAGAGTCACCTCTCCTGCCCAGGGTCCTCCTAAATCGGAGGCCCCCAATCCTGGGGTTCAACCCCTTCAGACCCCTGTACCTCTCTGTTCCTGTGGGGACACCTTGGGCAGAGGCCCGAGTCCCTGGACACTCCTGGGGTCACTCCGGCCACTGCCCGCTCAGGCTTGGGCTGGCCGAGGCTGGCCTGGGAGGGGCCGGGAAACAGGAAACCCCCTCCTCTGGTCATGTGACTTGTTATTGTACCGTTTCCTTCTTGAAGACGGCAGCTTCCTCCACCCCCAAGGGGGGCACGTGTTTACCTGCCAAGGTGGCAGCTCCTTCCAGTCCTGGCCCACGGCTCCCCGACCTCCAACACTTGGACTTTATTTCTCAAGAGCCAGAATGTTCCACCCGGGCTGACGCTTTCCATCTGGGTCCCCTGTGAGCTTCTCTTCTCTGCCTGTCCCTTCCCTATGGGGTCACAGTTCTCATTCGCCTCAGTCACAGGCAGATCTGGGTTGGGTGACCTTGAGCAAGTGATATCCCTCTCTGAACCTCAGTTTCCCCAGCTCTAAAATGGGGGCAATGACAGCATGTCCCTCACAATGTCATGGGAGTTTTAGAAAGCGATTTGCACAAAGCTCAGCACATCAGGGAACTGAACCCCAACATGCACTTGTGGCTCTTTACAACCTCTCCGAATGTCCCATCCCTGCCTCCTCTGCCAGCTCCTGTTGCTCCTCCATAAATGCTACATTCTGGCCGGCCGCGGCGGCTCGCGCCTGTCCTCCCAGCACTCTGGGCGGCCGAGGCGGGCGGATCGCTCGAGGTCAGGAGTTCAAAAACAGCCTGAGCAAGAGCGAGACCCCGTCTCTACTATAAATAGAAAGAAATTAATTGACCAACTAAAAATATATAGAGAAAAAATGAGCCGGGCATGGTGACACATGCCTGTAGTCCCAGCTCCTCGGGAGGCTGAGGCAGGAGGATCGCTTGAGCCCAGGAGTCTGAGGTTGCTGTGAGCGAGGCTGACGCCACGGCACTCACTCTAGCCTGGGCAACAGAGTGAGACTCTGTCTCAAAAAAAGAAAACCAAAAAAAAAACATAAATGCTACATTCTCCAGAGCCTGGACGGGTCCCCATTTTTCCTGCACCCGCTTCTAGCGGGTCTCCATCCATCGTCACAGCCCAGGTCTCTGCCCTCCCAGCTCGATGCTAGCTCAGGTCCCTCCCTGGGCTCCCTGGCCCCTCTACTCCCTTTCCCACCCAAGTCCTGGCGAGGGGGATCTGCTCCCACACCGTCCCTGGCTCCCCTTTGCCCTTCACCCTGGCACTCAAGGCTCCTGCTGGCCACCTGCTCCCGTGAGCACGCTGTGCTCCAGCCACGAGGACCTCCTCCGTGGGTAGCAGGTTCGCACCTCTCTCACACTCCTGGTCTTTCGTAGCCTCTGCCTGAAACACCTTGTCCGTCCTTCTGCACGAGGTTAGAATCGTGCAGCGCCTGGAGTCCGATTCTTCCGGCCTCTGTGTCTTCCAGGGGAAGAAAGGTGGTGGGGAGAGAAGTCGCAGTTCTCTGACTTGCGGGGTTCACTGGACTCCTCACTTTTAGCTTCCGCACCAGCAACACTGACCTGTGAGAGGATCCACGGCCGGCCACCCCAGGGCTGGCCCGAGCCTCCAGGACTTTGCCCAGGAGGTTCCTTCTGCCTGGAATGCCTTTCCCCCCTTGTTTTTCTGGAAAATTCTTCGTCCTTCAAGGCTCAGCTTGCAAAGGCCCTCCTGGCTATGCTTGATTCAGAGCCTGCCTGGTGTGCAGGCTGAACTGAGCCTTTTACAAGTAAACTGAGGCTCTGAATGGCTTTTGAACAGTTCTGGGGCTAAGGTGGGACGTGTACATGAAGAAAGCAGGCAGGTTTGAAATAGATCTGGATTGGTATTTTTTTTCTTTTTTTTTTTTTGAGACAGAGTCTCACTCTGTTGCCCAGGCTAGAGTGAGTGCCGTGGCGTCAGCCTCGCTCACAGCAACCTCAACTCCTGGGCTCCAGCGATCCTCCTGCCTCAGCCTCCCCAGTAGCTGGGACTACAGGCATGCACCACCACGCCCGGCTAATTTTTTGTATATGTATTAGTTGGCCGATTAATTTCTTCCTATTTATAGTTGAGACGGGGGTCTCGCTCTTGCTCAGGCTGGTCTCGAACTCCTGACCTCGAGCAATCCGCCCACCTCGACCTGCCTCCCAGAGTGCTAGGATTACAGGCCTGGCCTGGATTAGTATTTTTGATTTATGCAAATATATGTAAAATAAAGGGCAGACAAGTAATGGGGCGGGGCCTTGGAGGCACAGGCCACGCCCACCTCATCCGGGGAAAAACCCGCCCCACACTGACCGGGCCAAGTCGACCAATCACCAATCAGCTCCGTCTTTTCCCTGAAGTCCCGCCCAACTCAGTCCCACTCAGCTTATCACATCGCAAGCTAGGCCGTCTCCATCCCTCTGAGCCTATTACATTGCAAGCCCCTCCCCTCTGCCTCGTTTCAGCCTATCGCGGTAGAAACACTGGCCAGTGTCGTCTGATCCGGCTGCAAACATAAAAAAAAAACTCACTACTCTTGTTTTAGCCAATCATATTTTACACTTCGCTCCCAGTGCAGCCTATCGCATTTTGGACCCCGCCCCCTGGCGCAGTCGCAGCCTATCAGCTTCCACGGCCTCGTCCAGATTCTCCCTCGGCTCGACCGGACGCCCGCTGAACTACAGTTCCCAGGAGGCCTTGGGGCCACGCCGCCTAACTTCCGGCCGAAAGAATGGCGGCTTCCTAGAGGGTCGGCGGCTGGTTTGGAGGGAGGCTCCGGCTGCGGTGAGGAGAAGCCGGGTGTTTAAAGCGTAAAAGGGTGCGGGTCCCGTCCCTGGGGGGGGCCCCGCTCTTTTTTCCCCCAGGGGTCTAGCCTCTCGCCTTCCCTGAAGCTTCCGCCTTCGCTTCTGGTTCCTCCTGCCGTGTAGCCTCCATCCTTCTGGCTGCAGCCAGGGCTTCGTTGATTCCCTTAGAGGCGGCGGGGGCTGCGGGCCGCCCGGAGACCGTCTCGGGGAGCCCACGCCCGTTGCCCAGGTAGGCGAACTGTTCCACGGGCGCCCCGCCCCTCTCCAGGGGGACCTATAACACTCAGACCCGTGCGCTTCCCTTGTGCAGACACCCGCCGGGCTGCCCGGGGCCCGCGGGGGAGAATGCCAGAGGTTATGCCTTTATTCCACCGAGAGGTTTTCAGTTTGGGGTAACAGAAAACCCTACCGGGCCGGGGCGCGGTGGCTCGCACCTGTCATCCCAGCACTCTGGGAGGCCGAGGCCGGAGGAAGGATGGCTCCAGGTCAGGAGTTGGAGACCAGCCTGAGCAAGAGCGAGACCCCATCTCTACTATAAATAAAAAGAAATTAGCCAAACAACTAAAAATGGAAAGAATTAGCCAGGCCTGGTGGCGTGTGTCTGTAGTCCCAGGTACCCGGGAGGCTGAGGCAGGAGGATCGCTTGAACCCAGGAGTTTGAGGTTGCTGTGAGCTAGGCTGATTGCTGTGAGCTAGGCTGATGCCACCGGCACACTGTAGCCCAGGCAACAGAGTGAGACTCTGTCTCAAAAAAAAAAAAAAAAAGAAAGAAAGAAAGAAAAAGAAAACCCTGGCTTGAGCAAGACAGGGAAGTTAGTGGCTTAGAGATCGGATCCGAGCATAGCTAGGTGCGGGTGGTGAGAAATTGATCTGCTGTTTTCCGGGCGTCCCTTCAGGCCTTTGACTCTCTTTCCTCTCTTAGGGGCAAAAGGGGCTCCGGGCAGCTCTCAACTTCTAGACTCCCAGGTCTGCAACCCTAATGGGAGTCTCTTCCCTGATGGCACTCTTGGAAGTCCCAGATCTCCCACTGACTGGCCAGTTTTCAGTCATGTGCCCATCTCTGAGCCATTGGCAGTGGCCGGAGAGCTGGGATGTGCTCATTGGCCAGGTGATGGGGGGAGGAGAGGGGTTAGCCCTGCAGAAAAAAACGGGAGACTATTACCTCATGCCAGGATGGGTGCTGGGCTGATAGGTATGAAGGCACCCATTCTGCAGCTTAGGAAACAGAGTCCCTAAGGGGAGTGACTCTTATAGTCAGTGAGCAGCTCACGACCCATCTTCTTTCTTAGTAACCAAATGTTTTAAAACCCCCTGAAGGGAGGATCCTGGCTTCCCCTGTTCCTGCTCCATCCAGCCACATAGGAGCCATGGAAGTGGCAGAGCCCGGCAGCCCCACTGAGGAGGAGGAGGAGGAAGAGGAGCAGTCGGCAGAGCCTCGGCCCCGCACTCGCTCCAACCCCGAAGGGGCTGAGGACCGGGCACTGGGCGCTCAGGCCAGTGTGGGCAGCCGCAGTGAGGGTGAGGGCGAGGCAGCCAGTGCCGACGATGGGGCCCCCAGCGCCCCGGGAGCCGGCCCCAAGCCCTGGCAGGTGCCCCCACCAACTCCTGAGGTCCAGGTTCGGACACCAAGGGTCAACTGTCCAGAGAAGGTGGTAAGTAGAGGGTCTGGCCTGGGGCTTTGGGGTGCTAGGGAACCTTGAGCTAAACGGTCCCGCTTTTGGGGGTTCATGCTGCAGACATTCCCTTTGTATGAGTGCCCTACGGCCGCTGCAGGTTACCGCAGACTTGGTGGCTCACAACAACAGAAATTCATTCTCACCGTTCTGGAGGCCAGAAGTCTGAAATGAAGGTGTCAACAGGACAGTGCCCCCTTGGAGTTTCCAGGGGAGGGTCCTTCCTTGCCTCTTCCAGCTTCTGGTAGCTCCAGGCGTTCCTTGGCTTGTGGCTGCATCACTCCAATCTCTGCCTTCCTCCTCCTACGGCCTTCGTCTCGGAGTCTCCTCCTCTTCTGTCTCCTACACAGACGCTTGTCTTGGCGTTGAATCAGGATGATTTTATCTTAACACCTTTGCCTTAATTACATCTGTAAAGACCCTGGTCCCAGATAAGGTCACGTTCTGACGTTCCTCGTGGGCATGTCTTTTGGGAGCCACAGGTCAACCCACTGTGTCCTCCTTTTTTATGCTTCTGTGTCAAACATTCTCTGCTTTGCTTTTTTTTTTTGAGACAGAGTCTCGCTCTGTTGCCCAGGCTAGAGTGAGTGCCGTGGCGTCAGCCTCGCTCACAGCAACCTCAAACTCCTGGGCTCAAGCGATCCTCCTGCCTCAGCCTCCTGAGTAGCTGGGACTACAGGCATGCGCCACCACGCCTGGCTAATTTTTTCTATAAATTTTTAGTTGGCCAATTAATTTCTTTCTATTTTTAGTAGAGACGGGGTCTCACTCTTGCTCAGGCTGGTTTTGAACTCCTGACCTCGAGCGATCCGCCCGCCTCGGCCTCCTGGAGTACTAAGATGACAGGCGTGAGCCACCGCGCCTGGCCTCTCTGCTTTATTTTTTTGTTCATCAACCTGGACTCCGAGTCCGGTATTCTTTCCCCTGAGCCACTAGCTTCCACAGAGGCCAGCTTGGCCGGGAACTGGAGGTCACCACACTGCCTTTCCAGACAGGGCTGCCAGCAGAGGGCCAGTGGGTGGCGGGGGCTGGCGCTGAAGTCAGAGCAGCCCTCTCCGCCCTCCGCCTTCTTTCAGATCATCTGCCTGGACCTGTCAGAGGAAATGTCCCTGCCGAAGCTGGAGTCGTTCAACGGGTAAGAGGGACATCTGGGAGCGTTTGGGCAGAGGCCAGCCCAAAGCATACGGGGCCTTCACGCGGAGCCTCGCACCGGCTTGGTCCACCGGCAGTGCCCCAGGGTAGCAAGGACGGCTGGTAGCGCCGCGGCTGCGGCCACTCGGGGCTCCGTGCACGGCAGCGGCTTGGAGATGCTGAGAAGCACGGTGCCCCGGGTCCGTGGGGCCAGGCAGTGGGGCCCGGGTGGGGCTTCAGGGGCTCCTGGGAGATGCTGAGGGCAAGACCCCCCCTCCCCTGGTGCCCACGGCCGCGTGGCTGAGGGAAGCCCCAGCAGGGCCTTAGAGGGACCGTTTGGAGGGGACAGGAGCTCAGAGGTCAGCGGTGCTGGGTTCGAGACCAGGCTCCGCCAGCCCCGTGCCGTGTGACTGGAGCCTTATCGTGGGGCTGCTGGAGGGTTCTCGGGGCTGGGTGGGTGAGGGGACCTTAGCGCCCCTCCACTCCCTGCCTCCCCAGCTCCAAAACCAACGCCCTCAACGTCTCGCAGAAGATGATCGAGATGTTCGTGCGCACGAAGCACAAGATCGACAAGAGCCACGAGTTCGCGCTGGTGGTGGTGAACGACGACACGGCCTGGGTGAGGCGGGGCCGGCGGTGGGGGCCTCGGGGACCCACGGGGCCGGGGGCGCCCTGCTGAGGCCTGTGCTTCTCCGCAGCTGTCCGGCCTGACCTCCGACCCCCGTGAGCTCTGCAGCTGCCTCTACGATCTGGAGACGGCGTCCTGTTCCGCCTTCAGTATCCTTCCCGCAGGGCGCCGCGGGGCGGGAGCTCAGTGCAGACCCCAGCTCTGCTGTCAGAGGCGGGCCGTCTCGCTGGCCTCGGGTTCCCCGTCTACACCACGGGAAGCACAGAACCGCCCACCCTGTAGAGCTGCTGTGAAGACAAAGTCATGGTATAGAGGGGGCAGCAGCCGATTTGGAGTCAGGGCGTTCAAACTGCACCCACCTGGGGAGCACTCGCACGGGGCCAGGTATACAGTCAGTGCTCAATAAGTGGTAACGTGTGACTGAAGTCACAATTGCGGCTACAGCCCTTTGGGCTTGGGCGTACCACGTTTTGTGCTAATTGGGACATTAAAGGTTCACGTGTGGCCCCAGACTTAAATATTATTAGGATGTGATTCCTGTGAGTTTAAAAAAAAAAGCAGACAGTGGTGAGTGTTAGGGGGACAGGAACAGGGACATCGAGTGTGGTCCTCTCATCGTGTGGAGAGTGGCTTCCGCTCTGAAGGAAAAGGGAGCTTTGACTTACCATCCAGTGCTAACCCTGTTTTGTGATCCGTGCTGAGGCTCAGAGAGGGCAAGTGCCTTGGCCAGGGTCACACAGCGCCTGCTGAGGTGCCCGGGCTCTCCTGACAGTGGGGTCCTGCTGCCTGTCCCTGCCTGCCCATGCTCTGCCACCGGTCTTCTCCTTAGCGCCCCCAACAGATCTGGAAGGTCTCTTCAGCCTCATGTAAGTCACCAGTGGGGAAATTGTTGTTCACCTTTCAAGAGAAGGATCACTTCTGGGTAAAAGCCCCAAACAGCTCAGAATAATCCAGGGAGCCCTGGCCGGGCGTGGCGCTCACACCTGTCATCCCAGCACCCCCGGAGGCCAAGGCAGAAGGATCGCTTGAGGCCAGGAGTTCGGGACCAACCTGAGCAAGAGCAAGACCCCGTCTCTACAAAAAAATAGAAAAATGAGCCGGGCGTGGTGGCTCACACCTGTAGTCCCAGCTACTCGGGAGGCTGAGGCAGGAGGATCGCTTGAGCCCAGGAGTCTGAGGTTGCTGTGGCCTGTGAAGACGCCACTGCACCAGCCTGGGTGACAGGGCAAGAGCTCAAAAAAAAAAGAAAAATAAAAAGATCCAGGGAGCCTTAAAGCACCCTCGCTCCTAGCCCGTCCCTGGAACAGCTGTTGATCTGTCTGTCTGGGGCATTTTCTGCAAAAGGCATCCTTCCCGGGATCTGGCCCCGTGCTAGTCAGTCCAGTGACCGTCCCGTGGGCCTCCGCCCGCTCCCCTAACGCAGGGTCGGCGGACGGTTCCTGCGCAGGGCGGGTGGGGAACAGTCTCTGTCGCAGTGGCAGGCCAGCCGTCGGGCGGGCTTGGCTGTCGCCCGTAGCCTGTGTCGTGCCCACCGCAGTCTGGACTCCGTGCCGGTTCCACGTGTCGTGAAATACGTTTCCCCACTCCCCAGTGTGAACTCTGCACTTGCCCGGTGCACTCACCCCGTTCCCCTCTCCCGGCACCAGGGCCGATCACGCTCTAGAAAGTTCCGCCCATCTTACAGGTGGAGAGAGGCCACATGTCCACTTGCTGTGCTTTTGTTTGGGTTCTTTTTGTTCATTTTTAAATCCATCTGACATTCTCTCAGTGGCTTGTCTATTTGTGGCCTTTGCCTGTTTGTTATGGGATATTGTTTTTTTGGGGGTTGTTTTTTATATCATCATGGCTCACTGCAGCCTCAAACTCCTGGGCTCAAGCGATCCTCCTGCCTCAGCCTCCCAAGTAGCTGGGACTACAGGCATGCGCCACCACGCCCAGCTAATTTTTCTATTTTTTTGTAGAGACGGGGGTCTCGCTCTTGCTCAGGCTGGTCTCGAACTCCTGAGCTCAAGCGATCCTCCCGCCTCGGCCTCCCAGAGTGCCGGGATGACAGGCGTGAGCCGCCGCGCCCGGCCAGGATATTGGCTTTTACTTGTTGACTGGATTTGATTTTTACGTCTTGGAGACATTAGTCCTCCGTCTGCCTGGTGTCCTGAGCCCGTGAGATGAGCCGTGGCCGGGCGGGGGGTGGGCGCCGGCTCCGCACGGAAGGCCTGGAGCTGGGGGTGGGGGCCGTGGCTGGCAGGTGAGAAGGCCCAGAGGCAGGAGTGAATTGGGGAGGCGTCGGGTGGGGCCCAGGGACAAGCGGGGCCTTCTCCAAGGGTGACGGGGGGCCGCCCCCCACCAGAGCGTGCTCTCCCCTGTCCCCTGCCCCTTGCAGCCAGCAGAAGACGGAGCTGCCGGTCACGGAGAACGTGCAGACCATCCCGCCCCCGTACGTGGTGCGCACCATCCTGGTCTACAGCCGCGCGCCCTGCCAGCCCCAGTTCTCCCTGACGGAGCCCATGAAGGTGGGGGCGGGAGGGGGAGGAGGAGGGGCGCGCGGGGGGGTCGGTACCAGGGGCGACTTCCCAGCCGCAGGGGCAGGGGCAGGGGTGCCTCCAGGCGGTTCTGAGACTCCGTCTAAGGCAGAACCTGGGGAATTGTCACAGGCGCCAGGCGACCCAGGCGCCAAAGGCTGCTGCCCTCTCCTCCCTTGTAGAAGATGTTCCAGTGCCCGTATTTTTTCTTTGACGTTGTCTACATCCACAACGGCGCCGACGAGAAGGAGGAGGAGATGAGCTGGAAGGTGAGGGGCCGGCGTGGGCGGCAGGGGGTCGCACCTGGCCTGGGCTTGTGGGGCCCTAGCTCCGCGTGGCAGCCCCGGAGCCGTGGCCCCGCCGCGTCGTGGTCATTCATTGGTTCAGCAACCGTCCCCCGTGCCTGTGCGAGCCAGTGGTGACGAATGAGGTGGGGGCGTTTGGGGCAGCGGCCCGGGGAGCGCGTCGGGGGCTGCCCGCCTCGTGCCCAGCTCCCCGCTTCTGCTTCCTGCCCTCGCCCTCGCCGTGCCCCTGCCCGGAGCACCCTTCCCTCCCACCTCGGCCTCCACTGGCCCCTCACGTCCCAGCCCCAGACTAGCTGTGCGACCTGGAGTGGGCCGTTTACTTCTCCGAGCCTCAGTTTACCCAACTGTGAACAGGGGGAGTTGAGACCAGTTTCTCCTCGTACCTCAGTGCCCAAACCAAACGTCCCCGCCCGAGACGCCTCTGCTCCCCAGAAAAGATCAGGGCGGGGCGGGGCGTGCGTCCGCATTCAACTGTGTCTCTCCGCGTGGGGGGGGCTCCTAACGTCAGGACTGAGACCTTGGGGTCCCTAACGCTGGGTGGGTGGTAGGGAATGTGTGCTGGATGCATGAATGTTTTCTGCTTGGCAAACTCCTCTTCACCCTTCAGAACCCATCCTCAGATGTCCTGTCCTCTGAGGAGCGCTCCAGGGGCAGGGAGGGCCAGTTGGGGGTAACCCTCAGCTGAACAGCTCCTCACTGCCCACCCCAGGACATGTTTGCCTTCATGGGCAGCCTGGATGCCAAGGGTACCAGCTACAAGTATGAGGTGGCGACTGCCGGGCCAGCCCTGGAGCTGCACAACTGCATGGCGAAACTGTTGGCTCACCCACTGCAGCGGCCCTGCCAGAGCCATGCCTCCTACAGCCTGCTGGAGGAGGAGGAGGAGGCCACCGAAGTCGAGGCCACCGTCTGAACCTGCCCTGTGCACCGCAACCTCCTTGTAAGGTGGAACCGGGCGGCCTAGAATACTGGTTCTCAAACTGGGCCCTGTGGAACCCCTGGGGTTCCAGGAGCACCCAGGGCACCTGGGGGGGTCCCTGGGAGGAACGCCGAGATTCCAAGGGGGCATCCCAGGAACTCTGGACATGCCCCTCCTCCTGTTTCCCAGCCCACACCGACTCCTGGTTTGTCAGTTGTGATTTCTGTTGTTTTTTTTTGTTTTGTTTTTGTCGTCAAAATAAAAATCTGAATATTGCTAACCCACGCCCACAACAATCACTTTGTGTTAATTGGGGTCATCTTGGTTCCAAGCGACAGCCACTGAGCGAAGGCGAGCCGCTTCTCTTGTGGGTGAAAAGGCAAAGCTGCAGCTTCAGGCTCTGCTGTATCCAGGTGCTAGGACGTAGCCAGCAGGCAGGTGCCGTAGTGGGCGCGCAGGTGCGGTAGAGGCGGGCAGAGGCGCGGTAAAGTGGGGCGGGCAAGGTGCGGTAGAGGGCACGCAAGGTGCGGTAGTGGGCAGGCAGGTGCCGGTAGAGGGCGGCAGGTGCGGTAGTGGGCGCGCAGGTGCGGTAGAGGGCGGGCAGGTGCCGTAGTGGGCGGGCAGGTGCGTAGAGGGCACGCAGGGTGCGGTAGTGGGCGGGCAGGTGCGGTAGAGGGCGGGCAGGTGCGGTAGTGGGCGCGCAGGTGCGGTAGTGGGCGCGCAGGTGCGGTAGTGGGCGGGCAGGTGCGGTAGGTGGGCGGCAGGTGGCGTGGAGGGCGGCAGTGCGGTAGTGGGCGCGCAGGTGCGGTAGTGGGCGGGCCAGGTTCAGCGGTATGGGCGGGCAGGTGCGGTAGTGGGCGGGCAGGTGCGGTAGAGGGCGGGCAGGTGCGGTAGTGGGCGCGCAGGTGCGGTAGGTGGCGGCGCGCAGGTGCGGTAGAGGGCGGGCAGGTGCGGTAGTGGGCGGGCAGAGTGCGGTTAGTGGGCGGCAGGTGCGGTAGTGGGCCGGGCAGGTGCGTAGTGGGAGGCGGGCAGGCTGCGGTAGTGGGTGGGGCGGCAGGTGCGGTTAGGGGGTGGGCGGGCAGGTGCGTATGTGGGCCCGCCAGGGGACGGGAGACAGGAGACCAGAGCGACGGGCAGCTTTACCGCGAGCCGCTCTTCCTCCCGTGCCCGGCCCTGTGCGGACGCCTGCGCGGGCCCACGCCGGCCCCCCAGCGGCACCCGCGTCTCGCAGAGGGGGCTGCCAGGCGGGGACTCGCAGCGCCTCTGAGCGCAGTTCCGCCGCCGCGACCGCGGGTGCGGCCGTCCGGGTGGAGACGAGATAGCGGCCGCGCGGGCACTTATCGCTGGCGCCGGGCCCGGCCTGATGCCGCCCAGTGTCGCCGCCCAGGCCGGACCCCAAGCTCCGGGTCCCGGATGTGGCAGCCGCCGCGGTGCGGCGCGGGCCGCCCTGGCCGGGGACGCTGCGCGACGCCGGGGGGCGGGGCGGCGCGTGCGCACGAGGTCGCCGCGGGAAATTGGAAGCGGGGCGGAGGGGAGCGCGCTCCGCCCGGACATGGGCGCGGAGGCCGGCCTGGCGCGGCGGCTGCGGGCGGCGCTGCGGGCGGAGGAGCCGCGGTGAGGGCGGGCGCGGGCGGGCGCGGGGCAGGCGGGCGGGCGCAGGGTGCGGGCCGTGGTCGGGTCCGCTCTGACCCCCGGTTCGCAGGGCCGTGCAGGAGCTGCTGCGCCACGGTGCGGACCCCAACCTGGTGCTGGCGGACGGCGCGGCGGCCATACACCTGGCGGCCGGGGCCCGGTCCCCGCGCGGCCTGTGCTGCCTCCAGGTCCTGCTGCGCGGAGGCGGGGACCCCAACACCCGGTGAGGCGGGGCCCGGGCCCAGGGCGGGGTCTCCCGAAGCCGAGGTCGGGCAGTGCGGGAGAGGGCACCCCGTGGTCCTGTGGCCCGGCCTCAGGGCGGGGAGGCCTCAGGGTTGGGGCTTGGGGAGGGGCCCTGGGGACGTCCAGGGGCGGGGAGAGCCAGGGCTCCAGGGAGGCGCTAGGGTCCCAGGCCGAGGGCGCGGCACGGGGTTGCACCCGGACCAAAGTCGGGATCAAGGGTTTGGATCTTGAAGCGGGGTGACAGCTCCAGGGTCGGAGTCAGAGGTTCGGGTCCCGGCCCGAGGGCCATGTCCCAGGCTGGAGGGCGGATATGGGGGGGTCCCCATAGGCTCGGGGTCCCCCGAGGCTCGGGGTCCCTGCCGGGAGGCCGACGCGGCAGTGACCCTCCTGCGCGCCCGCCCCAGGTCTGCAGAGGCGCTGACGCCGCTGCACGTGGCGGCCGCCTGGGGCTGTCGCCGAGGCCTGGAGCTGCTGCTGAGCCGAGGAGCGGACCCCACGCTGCGCGACCAGGTTGCGGGCTGCGAGCCGGGCGGGCGGGGAGGAGGGAGGGAGGGAGGGAAGCGGGGCGGCGGGGCCTCGGGCTCCCCCTGCTGACCGCGCTCCCGTAGGACGGACTCCGGCCGCTGGACCTGGCCGTGCGGCAGGGGCACGCGCACTGCGCGCGCGTCCTTCGGGAACTGGACGCGCGGACCCCGACCCGGACCGGGGCGGAGACCCAAGAGCCCGAGCCCGAGCCCGGCAGTGAGTAGGGCCTGCGTGGCCGCGGCGCTTCCCTCCGGCCCAGGCCCTGGCATCTCCGCTTGGTCCTGTGTCACGGCCTCTGTCCCTGGCTGGCGCTGTCTGCCCCCCACCCTCCCTCCTCCTCGGGGCTCCGATGTCCTCTTTCTGTCTCACGCGATTCCCGCCTCTCCTGCCTGACCCCAACGCTAGGCGCCTCTGGACTGCGCGACGGGCCGCTGGACCCCGCGGCATTGCTCACCCGGCTGGGCGGAGGTGACAGCAGCCACGCGGGCCTGGAGGCTGGCGCGGGGTCCCCCAGCCTTCCTGCTGCCCTGGGCGTTGCGGACAAGGACAGGAGCTCGGCGTCCCCACCAGGGCGCTGGGACTGCAGCTCAGATGAGTCCTTCGTCACCGCTGTGGAGGGCTCCGGAGCCGAGGACCTGGCCCCGGACACTGCCCCCTGCGCTGGGTCGTTGCCCCAGACCAGGCAGGGGCCTGGCGTGCGTCCTGCCCAGAGGCTGCCGCGGTCTCCAGGTGCCCCGCTCGGGTGCGGCGAGGCAGGGCTGACCGCGCACCTGCAGGCCCTGACTCTGGCCTCGCCAGATGCCACCAGCGTCCCGTCCCTCCCCTGCGCACCGCTCGGGGACACGTACCCGGCCCGCAGTCCCCCGCGGACACCGCGCCCGGCACCCTCTGACTTCCACTTCCAGACGGACGCCCAGACACCTCTCGATAGTGAGGTCGCTGCCCTCTGGCTCACAGAGGACGAGGAGGCGAGCTCCACAGGTGACAGGGATCCTGTCCCCTCTTGCTGGCACCTGCCAGGCCCTGCTATGCCTGACTCGGAGCTTCCGCCGGGACGTCGAGGGCTTGGCGAGAGTCCTGGCCCCATCACGCCCTTCGCCCCGCGGTGCAGCCTCCGGCAGCTAGAAGAAGCCCCGGCGGCTCCTGGTCAGTCTCTCCTGGGCACCCGAGTCCGGGGAGCCTCCAGGAGACCCCGGCTCTGAGTCCCCTTCCCTTCTCGTCCCTGAGAATCACCTCTTCCTCCCTCCCCCTTGACTCAGTTTCCCTTCCCAGGCCCAGACTTCTCCGGGCACAGCCCGGAACTGGCCGAGGCCCTGCGGACAGGCCGGATCCCTCACGCCCAGGCAGATGAAGATGCGCTGGCCCAGCAGTTTGCCCGGCCAGACCCCGCCAGGAAGTGGCGGGAGGGAGTGGTCAAGTCCAGCTTCACGTATCTGCTGCTTGACCCCAGGTACGCCGGGCGAGAAAGACCTACAGGTGGGAGCTAGAAAATTTGGGGATTGATGCTTATTTGCTGTGTGTTCTTAGGAAAAGGACTGGCCCTCTCTGATCATCTTTATTTTTATTTTTATTTTGAGACAGAGTGTCACTCTGTTGCCCGGGCTAGAGTGCTGTGGCGTCAGCTTAGCTCACAGCAACCTCCAACTCCTGGGCTCAAGCGATCCTCCTGCCTCAGCCTCCCGAGTAGCTGGGACTACAGGCACGTGCCACCACGCCCGGCTCATTTTTTCTATGTATTTTTAGTTGGCCAATTAATTTCTTTCTATTTATAGTAGACACTGGGGGTCTCGCTCTTGCTCAGGCTGGTCTCAAACTCCTGACCTCAAGCAATCCTCCCGCCTCGGCCTCCCAGAGTGCTGGGATGACAGGCGTGAGCCACCAGGCCCGGCCTGATCATCAGCTTCACAAAAGGTGGTTGGACGCAGTTTAAGCTGCCGGGTGTCTGGGGAACAGCCACTCCTCTCTGGCCCTATGAAGTGGGGGTCACTGCATGTGGGTTCAAGTCGTTCCGTGACTTTGGGGACCGTCTCTGGGGCCACTCTTGTCACTTGTCCCTCTCTGAACCACGCCCTTCATCCAGGGAAACTCAGGACCTGCCGGCCCGAGCCTTCTCGCTGACCCCAGCTGAGTGTCTTCAGACTTTTGTCCGTGCCATCTTCTATGTGGGCAAGGGGACACGGGCCCGGCCATATGTCCACCTCTGGGAGGCCCTTGGCCAGCACAGGCGGCCAGGAAAACAGGTATGGGGACAAGGGTCAGGGCCCTGCAGGGGCCGTCGGGACATGGATGGGCACAGAAAAGAAGGGATTCTGGGGCCGCCCCCGACTCTGTCCTGGCCCCCCAGGCCTGTCCCAAGGTACGCCGGATCTTGGACATCTGGGCCAGCGGCCGGGGCGTGATCTCCCTGCACTGCTTTCAGCACTCGGTTGCCGTGGAGGCATATACGCGGGAGGCGTGTCTTGTGGGTGCACTAGGTGGGTACCTGGCATGTGGGTTGGGGGGTGTCACATGAGGGACAGTTGATCTACCAGTTCCCTCACCCCCTTCTGTCCCAAAGCCGCACATTTATTCAGCGAGCAATTATTGAGCACCAACTCCGTACCTGCACATGCACATATTTTGCTCCATTGGTTTATCCCTGCTCGAGGGCAGTACACAGTGGGTACACCCATTACATACTGCTGCAGGGGGGCACGTGTCCCCAAGGCTGCCCATGTGATCCCACCCCCAATCTCCCCAGGCATCCAGACGCTGACCAACCAGAAACAAGGGCACTGCTACGGGGTGGCGGCAGGCTGGCCTCCCGCTCGGCGCCGGCGCTTGGGGGTACGCCTGCTGCATCGGGCCCTCCTCGTCTTCCTGGCTGAGGGGGAGCGAGAGCTGAGGCCTCAGGACATCCAGGCCCGCGGCTGAGTGCTGGGGAATCGGCCATCCGGCCGGGCAGAGACCAGGGTGTGTGAACGTCCCCGCTGCCCCGGCCGGGAGCTCCCGTCTCCCCGCTTTCAGAAGGCGCGGGCACAGGCTGGGCGTGGTGGCTCACGCCCGTAATCCCGGCACTTTGGGAGGCCGAGGCGGGAGGATCGCTCAAGGTCAGGAGTTTGAGACCAGCCTGAGCAAGAGAGTGAGACCCCGTCTCTACTATAAATAGAAAGAAATTAATTGGCCAACTAACATATATAGAAAAAATTAGCCGGGCATGGTGGCGGCGCATGCCTGTAGTCCCAGCTACTCGGGAGGCTGAGGCAGGAGGATCATTTGAGCCCAGGAGTTTGAGACCACGGCACAGGCGACAGAGTGAGACTGTGTTCAAAAAAAAAAAAAAAAAAAAGCCGGCTCGGTGGGGCACGCCTGTAATCCTAGACTCCTGGAGGGCTGAGGGGCAGGCGAATTGCTGGAGGTCAGGAGTTCGAGACGCCAGCCTGAGCAAGAGCGAGACCCGTCTCTAACTATAATATTATGGAAAGAAATTATTGGCCAATAATATATATACGACAAAATTACCGGGCGTCGGTGGTGCATGCCTGTAAGTCCCCCCAGCTACATCGGGAGGCTGAGGCAAGGAGATCACGCATTTGATCCCAGGAAGATTTGAGGTTGCTCGTGAGCGAGGCTGACCGCCACGGCACTCAAACTCGTAGCTGGCCGAGCAACCAGTGAGACTCCTGCTCGGAAAAAAAAAAGAATAAAACGTGGCACGTGTTTGTGTGTGCACGTGGTGCGTGTATCGCGTGCATGGTGTTTTAACATGCGTCGTGCGTGTGTAGTGGAGCGCCTGGCAGATCCCTCAGGCTGAGGGGGCCTCCCCCCACCAGAGAGGGGCGAGCGCACCTGCGTTGGGAGGAAGCGAGTGGGAACCAGGAGGCCCGTGGCGCCAGTCTGTCCGTGTGTACGGAGGTCCGCTTTCTGGCCTCCCTGGACCACAGGCACCCCGCACTGTGGGATGCGGCTCGGGCTCCCAGCTGCCCTCCCGGGGTATCTGCCCCAAGCCCGGCAGACCAGGCCCCTGCCTTCCCGGCTGGCGGGAGCCGCCGACGCAGTGCACTCCGTGTTCTGTCTGAGCGCTCAGTTGTCCTCCCAGCTTACAGTGGGGGCAGCTCCGGAGTCACTGTAGGGGATCAACGTGAGGCCACGTGGGTAAAGGTGGCTCAGAGACCACCAAGGGAGGCCCGGGTGGGAAAGTCCCGTGGGGGAAGGGAAGGCGGGCAGGGATCTCCAGGGACCGCTTGTGGCTCGTGGCCGGTGACGGTAGGCAGGGCCCAGGAGGTGTGGGGCGCAGATGTGAGAGACCAACACTCTTTTTGGGGTCAGCTGCGTTGCTTCTCTGAACCTGTATCTTCCACTGTCAAATGGGATCAACAGGCCAGGCATGGTGGCTCTCGCCTGTCATCCTAGCACTTTTGGAGGCCAAGGCGGGAGGATGGCTTGAGGCCAGGAGTTGGGGAGCAGCCTGGGCAACACAGCCAGACCCCATCTCTTAAAAAAGAAACAAACAAAAACGGTTAATATTGTAATCCCAGCACTCTGGGAGGCTGAGGTGGGTGGATCGTTTGAGCTCAGGAGTTGGAGACCAGCCTGAGCAAGAGCGAGACCCCGTCTCTACTAAAAATAATAATAATAAAAAAATTTAATTGGCCAACTGAATGTAGGAAAAAAACCCAAATGATTACTAACCAGACTTCCCAGAGAACTTATGCCGCTACCGGCTACTCATATGGTCAAAGAGCTTCAGTAAAGGCCAAGCTGCCATCCTGGCGAGATGTCGCCGCTGGGATGACAGCGGTCCACTTTTGGGGGGGTGAGTCATTTAAGTTTCTAATAGTTGCTTCTTCAAAGGGCCTAGTGGGCTTAAGGAGAGAGATCCGCCGCCTCGTTGGCTTCCTGTCCTGCCCGTCTTCACGGCTCAGCCAACCAAGTCCCGCAGGGGGCGGGCTGTGGCCGGGGCTGGGGGGTAGGGGGGTATGGTGGGGATTCCTCCTGCCTGGGATCCCCCCTCCCCTGCCGTGCTCTGCTGCTCCGGGGACGGCAGTGGTGGCGGTTAGAGGCCCGGCCCCTGGAGTGGGTCTGGGCTCTACCTGGTACCTGAGCCAAAGAAAACTCTCTGAGCTTCCGTTTCCTGGTGGAAAGCAAGGAGGCCTCCCATCCGCCTGTCTTCTGGGAAAGCCACGGCAGTCCCTTTATTAGAAGACTGGCGACTGCACGCCCTCGCCCCTGGAATGTACCAACAGCTCACGGGCAAGGAATCCAGGGACCCCAGAAGATCCAAGAGGCATGGGATCTGTCTGACACAGGGGTTCCCAACCGTGGCCTTAGTTACCAACCCTGGGGCTGGGGTGTCCTGTGCCTTGCGGAGCATGGGAGCAGCGTCCTTGACCCCCCCATGCCACTGGCACCCGCACCCTACCCTCCCCGGTGGCAATCAAGAGAGCCTCCAGAGCTGCCAAGGGACACAATCGCCCCTCCAGAGAGCCCCTGGTCTAAACTAACTCTGGGCTCGAAAGCCAGTGGGGAAAGGGCAGCAGATTCAGAACTGAAGGAACACCCCCCCCCCTCCGTCCCACCATGCACACAACCCCCTAAATATACGAGCATCAGAATAGAATTTAGAGGCTAGGTTCGTGTCAGTTTCATTAAAAAAAAATAAAGTTTAGAGGAGCAAATTCATGGCTTTGGGGCAGCAAAATCCTTCAGCCAGACACAAAAGGGAAAGACAGATTTGGTGGTTTGAAAAGAAAAATCAGGGCCGGGTGTGGTGGCTCACGCCTGGAATCCTAGCACTCTGAGAGGCCAAGGTGGGTGGATTGCTCAAGGTCAGGAGTTTGAAACCAGCCTGAGCGAGACCTTGCCTCTACTAAAAATATAAAGAAACGAATTGATCAACTAAAATATATATATACAAAAAATTAACCAGGCATGGTGGCGCATGCCTGTAGTCCCAGCTACTCGGGAGGCTGAGGCAGGAGGATCGCTTGAGCCCAGGAGATTGAGGTTGCTGTGAGCGAGGCTGACTCCAGGGCACTCACTCTAGCCTGGGCAACAGAGTGAGACTCTGTCTCAAAAAGAAAGTTGGAAACCAGCCTGTGCAAGAGTGAAACGCTTGTCTCTACTAAAAATAGACAGAAATTAATTGGCCAACTAAAAATATATGCAAAAAATTAGCCGGGCATGGTGGCGCATGCCTGTGGTCCCAGCTATTTGGGAGGCTGAGGCAGGAGGATCGCCTGAGCCCAGGAGTTTGAGGTTGCTATGAGCTGGGCTGACGCCACGGCACTCTAGCCCGGGCAATAGAGTGAGACTCTATCAAATAAAATAAAATAAAATAAAAAAGAAAAATCATCTTCATGACAAAGATGACCCCAAACCAAGTCGAAAGATAACATTGGGCCAGGTGCGGTGGCTCAGGCCCCTAATCCCAGCACTTTGGTAGGCCGAGGTGGGAGGATCACTTGAGACTGGGAGTTCAAGACCAGCCTGGGCAACATAGCAAGACCCTCTCTCCACTAAATAAATAAACTGCGATAGTAAGAGGCACTGACTTGCCGGGCCGGGTTGGGTGAGTTGTATTCAACTCAGAGATGGGCGCCGGGCACTCCCCACAGTGCGCGCTCAGTTAGGGCAGTTCCAATCCCGTGTAAGGTGTTTACTGACGTTCGCCTCAACCTCAGTTGGGCCTCCTCTTCCCTGCCTGGGGAGGGCTCACCCCTTGGCAAGGTGCCTCCCGCCCTGCAGGTACTGCCCATGTAGTCCCTGCGTTCTGAGGCAAGGGGGGGACGGGGGACTCAAAGCAAGCCTGGATCCCAGATCAGCCCTGGCTTGGGGGGGAGGCGCCGGCAGTCAATCAGCCCAGTCCGCAGATGGGAACACTGAGGCTCAGGACCGGTGAAGGTCCCTCTCTGTGGCCACCAAGCACGGGTCTGGAGACTCCGATTGTCACTTCTTTTTATTGAGTTACAAGTCTGAGATGCGCAGGTTCGGTGGCGCCAGCCCTCCCGTCCCTCCCCGCCCTCCTGTGGGCGACAACAGTAGCTCCCAGCGCTGCAGCCTCCGAGGGATGCGGGGTGGGGACGGTCCCTGCGGGGCTGGGGGGGGCGGTCCCAGGAGGAAGCGCGGCTGACACGGAAGACAGAGGGCGGGGCGGGGGGCCTGGGGGCCCGTGCCTTTGGCTGGAGAGGGACACTTCTGTACAAGGTCATCTTCTGCGGGGGTCCTGGCCGCGGCCCGCAACACCGGCCCGCAACACCGACGCGGGGTCTTGCGGGACAGAAGCAGAGAGCGGAGTGTCCACCCGGCTCCCTGGCGCGCCACCAACGCCCGCCCGGGCCCGCGCCGCGCTGCAGACCGGGCGCCCTCCCGGCCTGGCCTGGCCCCGCCTGGCCTCGTCTTCCTGCCGCTCCGCTCCCCGAGAGCGATGCCCCGCCGGCCCGGCGGCTACTTCTTCTCCTCCGCGGGCGCGGGCAGGGGCTCCGGCAGGGCCTTGGGCAGGGGCTCGGGCTCCCAGAGCAGGAACTCGTGCAGCAAGGTGTTGACGGTCTCCGGGCACTCGAGCATCACCATGTGGCTGCCTTCGTCGATGAGCTTCAGGAAGGCCAGGAGCAGGATCTGCAGGGGACACGGGGCTCAGGATGGGCGAGGGCCCCCGGGCGCATTCGTGGATGGCCCCCGCGGCGCCGGGAAGTCCCTCCTGTAGTCTGCCCTTTATCACTCCCCCCCACCCCCAGTTCCGCCCGAGGGGGAGATGGAGGACGGCCTGTCACCCTGCGGGAGCCCATCTAGGTATCACTCCGTCGGCATTTACCCAGTGCCCGCCGCAGGCCTGCAGGAGGGCTTCTCAACCTCAGCGCCACCGGCGTTTGGTACCGCACCACTCTGCCCCGTGCACCTGCCCAGCCACACTCACACACACCGTAATGTCTCCAGACGTTGCCAAATGTCCCGGGGGGGGGGCGGGACAGAGTCAGCCCGGGGGTGAGGGGTGAGAATCACTGAGCCAGGCACGTAGCGACAGATTAAAGTCTTTCATGCCAAGGCAAGATGTCTCGACCTTGGCCCTAACGGCATCTGGGGCCTGCTCACTCGTTGCTGGGGTCTGTCCCGGGCATCGTAGGGTGTTCGGCAGCGACCCTGGCCTCCACCCACCAGATGCCAGTAGCACCCTGTACTTCTCCAGCTGTGACAACCTAAAATGTCTCCAGACACTTCCAAGTGCCACCCCCCGCCCCAGGGCAGAACCGTCCCTGGTTAAGAGCCGTGAGAGCTATTCCAGGCCCTAAGGATCCCAAGACCCTCTCTTGGAGTTCCTGATCTGAAGATCTCCCGGCCTCCCTCTCCCAGAGGCCACTGGTTCCTCACGCAAATGCCCAGCTGTGGAGGCAGCCTTCCGCCTGAGCGGGGATGGTGCATAACCGTTAACACCTGTCCCGGGCAGCCCTGCCGTCTGCATCCTGTCACCGACTCTAGATCTAAAGCTCCCTTTTGGTGGCTCACGCCTGGAACCCTAGCACTCTGGGAGGCCGAGGCGGGAGGACTGCTCGAGGCCAGGAGTTCAAAACCAGCCTGAGCAAGAGCAAGACCCCGTGTCTACTATAAATAGAAAGAAATGAATTGGCCAACTAATACATATATAGAAAAAATCAGCCGGGCATGGTGGTGGGTGCCTGTAGTCCCAGCTACTCGGGAGGCTGAGGCAGGAGGATCGCCTGAGCCCAGGAGTTTGAGGTTGCTGTGAGCGAGGCTGACGCCATGGCACTCACTCTAGCCTGGGCAACAGAGTGAGACTCTGCCTCAAAAATAATCAATCAATCAATCAATCAATAAAGCTCCCTTTTGCCTGGGGTGAGAACCCGAGGTAGAGCCGCACCTAGAGGCCACGCCCACCGCGGAGGCCACGCCCCCGGCCGCCCCTGGGTACCCGCCCCTACCTCGGCCATGCGCTGGTCCTCCTCCACCGGCACGAACTTGTCGTGCATGCCGTGCACGAGCAGGACGGGCACGGTGAGCTCGGCGTGGTAGACTTCGTCGCCCTCGGGCCAGTACTGGCCGCTCATCATGGCCCGCAGCACGAAGGACGACACGTTGAACGCCTTGCCCTCCTTCAGCAGCTGCTTCTCCTTGGCCCCTTGGCGGGCAAAGCCGGCCCTGGAAGCAGGGAGGCACCGCTGGAGCCCCCTCGTGCCAGCAGGGCCGCCAGCGGGTGTCCCAGCCTCCAGGGGTGCAGCCTCCCCTCCCCAACCCCGACTCTGCGGGGGGCACTCACTTGAGGAAGCTCCAGGCCAGGCAGGGCGACAGGCAGTGCAGCACGCAGGCCGGCATGTTGAAGATGGAGCAGAAGCTCGGCTCCAGCGCCGTGGGGCCCCCGCCGTTGATCATGATCACCTTGTGCACCAGGTCTGGGTACTCGTGCGCCAGGAATGTGCAGAAGGAGACGCTGCCCGGGGCGGGAGGGGTGGCGGGGAGGGTTGAAAAGGCGGGGGTGAGCAGAATACAGGCAGCGAAGGGGTTAAGGCCCTCCCGTGACCCCGGAGGCAGGTCCCCTGAAGGTCAAGATTCGTGCTCTGGGGTCCATGGGCACCAGACGGGGTGAGGGAACGGTGGGGCGTCTCAGAGTGGCCCAGAGTTGTGGAGTTGTGAGCTAGAGTGTTGAGGGTGGAATTTATTTATTTATTTGATTTTTTGAGACAGAGTCTCTCACTCTGTTGCCCGGGCTGGAGTGAGAGCCGTGGCGTCAGCCTCGCTCACAGCAACCTCCAACTCCTGGGCTCAAGCGATCCTCCTGCCTCAGCCTCCCGAGGAGCTGGGACTACAGGCATGCGCCACCATGCCCGGCTCATTTTTTTTTCTATATATATATTAGTTGGCCAATTAATTTCTTTCTATTTATAGTAGAGACGGGGTCTCGCTCTTGCTCAGGCTGGTTTCGAACTCCTGACCTCCAGCAATCCGCCCGCCTCGGCCTCCCAGAGTGCTGGGATGACAGGTGTGAGCCACCGTGCCCGGCCTCCTCAGGTTCTTAAAGTCACCTGACTTTCAAAGGGGAAAGGAGGACTTATTACCAAGTCCTAGGAGAGCAATCTGATCACACAAACCCTTCTGGCTGCCCTGAGGGGTTACTATTTCCTGTGTGCCCCTTCCCTGGTAGGATCTTTTCCTGCCAGCCTCTAGGTATGACATACCCACTTGTTTGTTTGTTTGTTTGTTTTTTTTGCAAGGTGGAAGGGCACAGCCTGAAGCGCCCCCCCCAAGTCAAGCTCCTCATTCTCTCTAAAGTAGGAGTCAGCAAACTATGGCCTGTGGGCTAGCTGCTAGTTTTTGTGAGTACAGTTTACGATGGTGGAGGTCTGGAAAAACCCTTTGCAGACACACAGCCATGCCTGCTTTTGCACTGCAACAAGCAAGAGTTGTAAAGTCCCAGGGGAGACTGCATGGCTTGCAAACTTAGAATATTCACTATCTGACCCTTTAAGAAAAAGTTTGCAAACTCCTGCTGCAAAGAGAGACCTGACTGTACCAGCGATGGCATGCCCTTGGGCAGGTTGCTTAAGCTCTCTAAGCTTCAGTCTTCACAGCTGTGAAGTGATAGTGTGCTGACCTCCTACGTAGAAGGGTGTTCATTTAACTAGAGGAATCATTTATCACATACATCAACTTTTGGGGATGTTATCATATCAACAAGTAAGAGCTACCTTACCTGTCAGCCTGGGATTCCTTTCTTTTAGATGCTTATGTAATTTAATTCCTTTTCTTGTCTAATTGCATGGGCTACAATCGCTAAAACAGGGGTTCTTAACCTGTCTGGCTAATCTAATCTTGCTTTTCTTCCCTAGGTAAAGGAGCAAATGGGGCCAGTTGGCAGTGGCCAGGCCCCCAAGGCCCAAAGCCTTCCACAGAGGAAGTTTTAGGTGGTATTGTCCACCCTTCAAAGGGGAACGAATTACAGCAACCTATGCCTTTGTAAGTGGGTAGAATTCACAGGATTCGAACTAGCCCTTCCGGACCTGCACGGGGACCTCCAGGGCAGCCAATCTGTGAATTTCGTCTAAGGCAGGGGTTCTCAGTGAGAGGCAATTCCGCCCACCAGGGGACATTTGGCAATGTCTGAAGGTGTCTGTGACGGTCACGACCAACACTACACGACTGTGCTAGTGGCATCTGGTGGGCAGAGGCCGCGGAGGATGCTGCTAAACACCCTATAGCCCCTCACGGAAAAGAATTAGCTGGCTCCAAATGCCAGTGGTACTGGCATTGAGAAACGCCGCTCTAAGGGAAACGACAGCAACAATGACAGGAATCCCTGTCTGGTTGCAGATGTTAATGGGATTTTTCCAAGGAGGAAAATCAGCATTCTGTGACCGGGTGTCCAGTGCCTGTCGGCCCCTGCCCTCGTGCCCACCCTGTGCCAGCCAGGGCCCGCTCACCCGTAGGAATGCCCGATGAGCACGTTCCGCTTCTTGGCGTAGCGCTTGAAGATGGCGCGCATGTCCTCGGCCAGTGCATAGAAGGTGTAGGCTGCGGCCACCTGCGGCGCGGAGCTGGCCCCGTGGCCTGCCAGGTCTGGGGCCACCACCTCGTAGCCTAGGCGCACAAAGAAGTCCAGCTGCTCCTTCCAGATGGCCAGGGAGCCGCCGACGCCGTGGATGAAGAAGAGCACCACGTCGGCCTGCGCGCCCTTGCAGCTGGTGATGCGCTTCTCGCAGTCAATGTGGATGGTCCTCTTGGGGCGCCGCGCGCGCCGCCGCCGCCCGCTGCTGCCGTTGCCGCTGCCCGCGCTGCCCGGGCCCGGGCGGCCGTCTCTGCCCGCCGGGTCGGCCAGCTCCACCTCCAGCGCGGCCGGCGGCTCCCCGGCGCCGTTCTGCCCGTGCAGGAGGTCGGCGCGGGGCGCCCGGCCAAGGTTCTCCACCAGCAAGCGCCCGTTGCGGTACACGGTGATCCGGCGCTGGCAGCGCACCAAGCCAGACCTGTCCCCCTGCGCGGCGTCCTGCGGCGGCGGCAGGGGCGGGGTGGGGGCTGGGGCGGGTCCCGCGTGCTTCACGCGGAGCACGCGGCCGGGTTTGACCTCCACGAAGGTGTAGCCATCACTGGACTCCACGCTCTCCAGCGGCGCCACCGCGTTGGGGGGCGCGCCCAGCAGGCAGCAGAAGATGCCGTCGGTCACCCCGGTGAGCATGGCGTGTCCTGCGAGTGGGCGGCAGCTAGCTCAGGGGCCGCCTACCTACATGGGACCCCTCCACCCCTGCAGGACCCACTCCCTGCACCTGGCTCAGGTGGGCCACCCTGGGGGAGGCCCCTTTTAGGCTCCAGTCTGGGGAGGGCTGGAGCCAGCCAGCCAAGGCACCAAGACGTTCTGCTGGGGGCAGTGCCTTCGCGGAGGCGGGCCACCCTCCCTGGGCCAGCCCCGTCTATCCTCAGAGAGGAGGACCTAGTAGCCCCACAGGGTGTCCAGAGAGAAAGTGGTGGAGTCCTCGGGGGCTTCCCAGAGGAGGGGACATTGAGACAAACGGGGCCCAGCCCTGAAGACACCCCTCCCCCCCAAGCTGGAGTTCACACCGGCGCGGCCTTGTAAGCCCGTGGGTTCCTGCAGACACGCACGCTTGCACCGACTCACACACTGCCAGGGCCTCCCGAGGCCTCTAACGCGGCGGGAATCCCAGCGAGCCCCCCATCCCCAGGATCTGACCTAGGAAAGATGAGGCCTTGGGGGAGGGGCTTGGGGACTGAGCCCCCAGAAGGCCTGGCCCAGCCCCGGAAGCCCCCGGTGCGCCGGGCCTGTTTCACGGAGGAGCAGGCTGAGGCCCAGACAGCTTGGGAGGAGGCGTCTGCGGGTCCCCCGGTACGCAGCACCCTGGGCGCCGGGGTCTGCCGCGCGAGCCCCCAGCCGTGGACAGGAGGATGGGGGAAGGCAAGGCCCTGGCTTGGGGGGCCTCCAGGCCTCCAACCCACTCCCTGGGCCACCCCCGCCCCCGTGTCCATGGCAACCGCAGGCTGTTACATAACTCAAGGGGGATACCCGCGCAGTGCACCCCCATTGTCTAGGGCCTGGAGACAGGACCGACCCCGCGGCCCCCTGGCTTTGGCGCCGCGAGGGTAAGGCACGCCGAAGAGCGGCCCGCGGTCGCCCTGGCGGGAGGCGGGCCAGCCCCCACTTCGACCGGGGCCCTAATCCCCCGCCTGCGGAGGGCAGCGCCAACGCGCCGCGCAAGCCCCCCCCTTCCCAGAGCCTGACCCCCGCCTCCCGGGCGCCCGTCATCCCCGCGGCAGGGTCGGGGCCGCTGGGGCTCCGCGGCTTCCTAGGAGCCCGAACGCGGGCTGTTCGGACCGCCGCACCCCCCGCCCCGCAGCGGAGGCCCCGGGGGGCCTCGATCTCCCCTCCTGGGGCCCGCTTCCCGCTCACCTCATCGAGGGCCGCGGGGCCCGGGTCGGGGCGGAGGGGTCCCGGGCGGAGGAACCGGCGCGCGCCTGCCGGTGCCGTTTACATGGTGGCGCGGGCCGAGGGCGCGCGCGGGCCCCGGCGGTCAGTGCAGGGCGTCCCGCCGCCGCGGGACGAGCCGGCCCTTTAAGTCCCTCCCCGAGGGGGCGGGGCCGCGCGCCGACGGGCGGGCACCTCGGCCTATGGCGACTGCGGGCTGACCTGGCCTAGTTCGGCGTCCAATCAGAGGCGGCAGTTCCGAGACGGGGGCGGGCTCTGGGGGCAACGGCCTCTCCCCTTCTGGGGGCTCGCCGGGGAGGGGGGAGGGATTGGGCCTGGCCCCGGGGCGGAGACGCGGGGTCGCCGCCTGGGGCCTGTGGGGCCCCGAGTGGGTGTCCCCGGCCGGCCAGTCCCTGCCCCCGAACTGCCCAGCCCCCTCCACACGAAGCCCCCGTGCACCTGTCGGTGTTGACCTTTCCATCCCGGGAGAAGAGATTCCCAGATCTTTCCAGTACCAGGTGGGGAAACTGAGGCTCGTAAAGGGCGCAAGGGCAAAGGCCAGGCAAGGGGCAAAGCCGGGACTTGAACCCGCGGCTGTGCGATTCCAAGCCCTGGGAACTGTTATTCGCTCCATCTTTAGACGGGAGTCTTGGAGCTGTGTGCAGTGAAGGGGAGGGAATTTCACAACCAGCCCAGGACTGTCAGGGAGGGCCGGGGGCCGGAGGCAGGCGCCCCAGCTCGGTCCGTGGCTGAGCCAAGGCAGGCCTCCAGGAGAGCCAGAGGGCCGGGGGCCCAAACCCAGCCTCTGCCCTTTTGCAGGTGTGTGACCTTGGGCAAGTCACTCTCCTGAGCTTCTCTTTCTCTCTCTATGAAACCAATCCTCTTATACATTTGTTAGCCGGGCAAAGCGCCCATCAGGGCGTCTCGCACAGAGTGAATGCCCAGCGCGGTTGTTGGCGTTGTTAGTACGGGGCTGTTTTGCCAAATGGTGGTGCAGGTAGGCTTCAGAGGATAAAGGGTTACCGGCTCCTTGCTGCTCGCCTGCTCCGATCCCCTGGAATTTGCTGCCAGAGCTGGATTGGGTCCAGCCACCCACTCTTGCCTGCTCCGGGCACTCCCAGAAGTCTACACAGTTTATTCATTCAGCAAACACTCCCCATGGCCCCTCTGGGCCGGCCCGGAGCTGGGTAAATGCTGGGGCGCTTGTAGGGACTCAGCCGGGGCTAGCCCTAGAGAGAGACGCCCCTGAGCTGCAGGGGAGAGCCGCAGCCGGCTAGTTGGGGCAGAGCTGGGGCCAGGGTTGAGAGGACAGGATTTTATTTTATATATATATATATATTTTGAGACAGAGTCTCACTTTGTTGCCCAGGCTAGAGTGAGTGCCGTGGTGTCAGCCTCGCTCACAGCAACCTCAAACTCCTGGGCTCAAGCGATCCTCCTGCCTCAGCCTCCCGAGTAGCTGGGACTACAGGCATGTGCCACCACGCCCGGCTCATTTTTTTCTATATATATTAGTTGTCCAATTAATTTCTTTCTATTTATAGTAGAGACGGGGGTCTTGCTCTTGCTCGGGCTGGTTTCGAACACCCGACCTCGAGCAATCCGCCCGCCTCGGCCTCCCAGGCGTGAGCCACCGAGAGGAGAGGATTTTAAAGGATGGATATAGGGGAACACTGGGCAGAGAAGAGGGTGTGGCTGAAATTCAGGGTGCCTGTGTGCAGAAGAGGGCTTTGCATGCCCGCTGGAGGAGCTGGATATGTTCCCTGGGGCAATAGGGAGCCCAGGAGGGTGTGTGAGCAGGGGAGGCTCTCAGTTGTGAGCATCAGAAAATTCTTCTAGGGCCCGGATGGGGACAAGCTTGCAGTCCTCCAGTTTTAGGGACCAAGAAACTGAACCCTGGAGAGGAGCAGAGGCCACCCCAAGGACACCGAGCCAGCTTGAACTCAGGCCTCCGGGGCTTCCTGCCAAGGGGCGGTGACTTGGCTTCAGGGCGGCCGGGGGAAAGCCGCCGGCCAGCTGCGTGCTATCTGCCCCAGCTGCGCCACGGCCGCCCAGGGGCACCCTCTAGCGGTCGACGCGAGAAGCAACTGCAACTCCCAGCAGACCCCGGGACGCGAGTGAGACGGCGCCGATCGCCTGCCGCCTAGTGGTCAATAGGAAGAACTACACCGCCCCAAGGGCACGGGCCCTCGCGCCGGTGGGGCGCAGGCGCGGAACTACAACTCCGGGGCCGCCGCGGCCATGTTTCTCCGAGACACGAGGAACTACATTTCCCAGAAGCCTTTGCCCCCCGGGGGCCACGGGGTCGCGGGCGGCCGCGACGGCGTGCGAGCGGCGGCTGGAGATGGCTCTCTGGGCAGGATCCCTGTTGGGCCCCGCGGCGGGCAGGTCGGCGGCGGCGCTGCTGGGGGGCAGGTGAGTCCTCAGCGGGGGGGACGCTTCCCCGAATTTGGGGGCGGGGCGGTGTCAGAGGCGGGCGCCAGCTGTTTACCACCCACGAGGCCCACCAGTGCCTTGCGCACTTATGGAGCGCCGTTTGCTGCCGGGCTCTGCACCGCAGCGGGCGGGGAGGCCCGGGTCGGTCCAACCGCGCCCGGTCTGACCCTTCCCGCCGCCCCCTCTGCCTCCGCAGGTGGCTCCGGCCCCGGCCCTGGCTGGGGCTCCCGGACGCGGGGGGCCTCCCTGCCCCGCAGCAGGCGCGGGGCAAGGCGCGCGGGAACGAGTACCAGCCCAGCAACATCAAGCGCAAGCGCAAGCACGGCTGGGTCCGGCGCCTGAGCACGCCGGCTGGCATCCAGGTCATCCTTCGCCGCATGCTCAAGGGCCGCAAGTCGCTGAGCCACTGAGGAGTGCGGCGCCGCCGGCGGGGACCCCCGCTCCCCTCGCCCCCGGGCCTCGCCTGGCGCTGCTTTTGCAGGAAGCTGGAAGAACAGGAACGAGACTCGGACACGGGCGCCCTCCGGAGCGTGGCGTGGGCCCGGGGGGGGGGGAGAAGATCGGGTGGGAGTGCAAGTCAGACCTTGCCAAGTCCCCTTCCACGCTTTTTTGAATTAATGAAGGATTTCGAACATATGCAGCAGACCGACAGGGATAGTGCAGCGGGAACCCCCGTGTGCACCCCAGGACGCGGCTGTACTTGAAGCTGACCTCAGGCATCAGGTTATTTCTTCTGTAAATATTTCAGAATATTTGTTACCCCCCCCCAGACAGACAAGGGCTCTCTAAAGCAAATCAAAAAACTTATCACACCCAAAAGAATTATCAATAATTTTGAAATATTAAACGTCTCGTACATGTTCAAATTTCCATTTGTCTTTTTTTTTTTTTTTTTTGAGACAGAGTCTGGCTTTGTTGCCCAGGCTAGAGTGAGTGCCGTGGCGCCAGCCTCGCTCACAGCAACCTCAGACTCCTGGGCTCAAGCGATCCTCCTGCCTCAGCCTCCCGAGTAGCTGGGATGACAGGCATGCCCACCATGCCCGGCTAATTTTTTCTATATGTATTAGTTGGCCAATTAATTTCTTTCTATTTATAGTAGAGACGGGGTCTCGCTGTTGCTCAGGCTGGTTTCGAACTCCTGACCTCGAGCGAACCCTAGAGCTAGGGTTACAGGCGTGAGCCACCGAGCCCGGCCCATTTGTCTTATATGTGCCGTCCCCTTTACAGGTCTGGGAAGGCTGGTGGGACACTGGGGGGTTTCGAATTCTCCTCCTGCCCCTTGGGGATTGGCTGTGTGACTCTGGGCAAGGCCTCAGCCCTCTGAGGCTCATTTGGCTCCTGTAAAATAAAGTGCTCGTTCCTCCTTCGCTCTGTCATTGTTGGAGTAATATTAATGGTAATACTTAGTAGCTTCCACTAAGCAAGCAGCTTACTGAGCACTTGCAATGGACCGACTGCCCAGTCCTTGCCCTGTTGGGGCTGTCGGTCGGTCCAGTGAGGGGGTGCATTCGCACCCAGGCAGGGTCAGGGCTGGGAGGAGGATTGTGAGCGCGGTAGGAGCCCAAAGGAGGAGCCTGCCTTGGCTTTGGGAAGAAGGCAGTCAGGAAAGGCTTCCTGGAGACACTGGCAGGGTCTGGGAGAGCCCAGAGGGAGGAGGGATTGGGTAGGGGCCAGGACACAGGTGGGGACGGGGAGAGGCAGGTGGGGCCTGGAATTGGGGCGGAGGAAGTGGGACTGGATCCTTAGGGGGAGCCACGGGAGATGTTCAACCAAGAGGGTCTGAGTTGTCAGTTCAAAGATAATCCAGGCAGCTAGTGCGGGAGTGGTCTACATATGCTGAAACTCAAGGTGGGTACCTCGTGTTACAGTTCTCGTGTTTGCAGTTGCTGTGACAACCTCAGGAGACACGGTCTAAAAAAAAACAAAAACAAAAACAAAAAAAAAAACGCAATAAACACTACAAAGAATAGAGGACCTGCGGGCCTTCCCGGAGTTGTGAACTACAACTCCCAGGAGACTTAGTGGGCGCGGCCTCCGCCCACTTCCGGATCTCACTTCCCGTCGCATCCAAGCCCGGGCGGGGTTTTGCTCTCTCAACCGAACTTGATCTCGAAGGGCGGAGGCGTGGCGGCCAATGGGCGCGTGAGTTAGCCGGACATGGCCAATGGGAGCGCGCAGAGGCCATATTATGGGGGCGGGGGTAGAGTGCGGACCAATGACGGAGGGGCGGTGGCGCCATCAGTGTGGGCTGTGCTGTGGCTGGAAGTTACTGTGCGGCGGCGACTAAGGAGGCGGCTGTGGCGGCGGCGGCGGTGGCTGAGGCGGTGGCTGAGGCGGGGACGGAGGAAACAGAAGATGGTGAGGATGGCCGCCGGGCCCGTACTCCCTCTAAATTCGACAAAATGGCGCCGTGGGCCCACCCACCTCTAGTATCCCCCGAGGCCCTTCACCACCCTGCCCAGTCCCTTCGGGCCCGCCCCGCCCCTCATTCTGACCTGTGACCTTCGACCCCCCCCCCCCCCGGACCCTGCCGTGACCCTACTGACCCCGCCCCAGTCCCCTCTTCCGACCCCTGACCCCATCTGGGATTCCAGGCCCTGCCAACTCATTCATTTCCGGGTCGCAGCTCCCCCCGGGAAATCGCCTGGGGTGGGGATGGGGTCCCCCGAGACCTCCCAGCTCTGGCTGCGTCCTCGGCGCTCCGGACCTGGGCCTCTCCCGTCCCGGGGAGTTTGGGAGGCCAGCCTGGGCGTCGGGGCGGGGGTGGGGGGCTTGACATCTGGACATGCGGGGCTTTGTCGCCAAAGGAAGTGCGACATCGCCGGCTGCCCGGGTCCCCCAGGGCCCGGACCCACCCCCGCCACTGTGGGCCACCACCTGCCCCTGGGAGTGAACAGCCCCGTCTCTCCGGTGCCCAGGGCCTGTCCCTGTGAAAACGAGGGTAGTCATAGTCCGAACCTTATAGGGTTGTGAGAGTTTGGGGAGCTGACGTCGTAAAGGGCTTAGGACCCGGAATGCTTAGCAGATGAGCTGGGCTGATGACATCCCCTCCTAGCTCTCTCCTCGTCCCGAAGTGGGAGTAATCTGAAACTGGCTGTTGGGGGGTTAAAGCCTTCTCTGGGGCACTCGCTCGTGCAGGGATATGGGTCTTGTGCTCTGGGCATCAGCCTCCCCGACTGTAAGGCAGGACAGCGACCCAGCCTTAGAGTTGAGCTAAGGCCCCTCCCCAGGCCCCTGCTGTTGGGCGTCCTCAGGGCTGGCAGGGGTGATGGGAGGTTCGGTTGAGATAAGCGAAGGGCCCGTTGGACCCACCCTGACCCGGAGACCCAGCCAGCCGTCCACGGTCCTTGGAATGTGGTGGGGACGGGCAAAAGGAAGACTTCCTGTCAGAAGGAAACAGGAAGTGGGTCCCCAAGCCCGGGTGTTGTCCTTGACTCGTCAATACCGCCTCATCCCCCACACCCATCCTCATGAGAGGATTCTTTGGCTGTGCCCACAGAACCCCCCCCTGCAGCCATCCATGGCTTCCCACCCCGCTCCGTGTGCTGCCACCGCCCTTACTTCCCCAGTCCCCTGCCTGGGTGCCTGCCCCAGCCTTTTCCCTGGTCTCTTGTGTGTGTGCCTTGATCCCACACATCCGGGGGTCCATAATCCCAGAAGGGGCTTTTAAAGATGTAGGTCAGATTGTACAACTTTCTAGCTCATAGAACACTTCAGAGGCTTCCAGCTCCCCGCCCCCTACCCCCAAGGCCCCTGCCCACCTCTGTGACCTCATCTGCACCCCTCTTCACCCCTTGGTCTACGAGCTCCAGCCACATTAGACTTTTCCCTTGTACTCACTCCATGTTCTGGCCACCCCAGGGCCTTTGCACCCGCTCCTCCTCCTGCCTGGAGTGCTTTTCTTCCTGTGAGCGAGGCCCTTCCTAACTGCGGGAGGCTCCCATGTCTCTCCTCTCTGGGTACAGTGTTTCTTTTCCTCCTCTCGCTTTGGGTCACCTGCTTTGGGTCACTGGTGGGCCACCTGCGGTGGGACTGGCACACAGGTGTTCAGTGCACGTTTGCTGAGGCAGTAGATGGCTTCGGGGCCCAGCTGTGGCTGGGACTTGCTTGGCTGAGGTGAGGGTTTCCTCTCAAGTCTTGAGGCCTTGTTTTCCAGCTTAGCTGACGGAAGTGTGGCCTCTACTCGGTCTTCATTCAGGTCCTCGGCACACAGGCGCTGGTGCTCACAGGTGCCCTCGCGGGGCCTCTGTTCGGAGCTTTCCCCGCGTTGTCTGGTTGAGACTCCGAACAGCCCCGGGAGGTGGCCCTGTTGTCATGCCCCGTTTCACAGGGGAGGCCAGCAGGCTGGGAGGTCCTCCAGGAGGGCCCGGCCAGCACTGACTGCAGGAGGTCCGGGTCCTGCACCTCTCACCACTCAGCTCCCCGCCCTGCGTGAGCCCCACCAGGGGCCCAGGGTTGAGTCCTTCTGCCCTCAGGGAGGTGCCAGTCCAGTGAGGGAGGTGGCCGTGTAAACAGATGACCTTGTCTGGGTGCGAGTGACCCTCTGGAAGAGTCTCCTGAGCTGTAAGTGTGTGTGACAGGAGCCTGGCAGGGGCCAAGCTGGGCCAGGACTGTGCAGGGGGACAGGGACCTCTTCTCACTCTTACGATCTCAGCACCTGCATCACCACCTCGGGCAGGCCAGACTGCTACCCTCCACCGTCCTAGGCCTCTCAGGGTGCCCTAGAGGCACCTGTCCCCATAGCCACTTCCCCATTCACCATGTGGCTGTTTGCTCCACACCAGTGGCCCTGAGGCTAGGAGCAGGTCTGCTGAAGGTCACCCCACACCCCAGTGCCCTGGGACCTGGCCAGGGCGCGCCGCAGAGTAGGGGCCCGAGAAAACCCTGCTGAATGGACGAAGCTAACGCGACAGTCTCTGGCCGAGTTGGGGCTGGGTCCGGGATGGGCAGGGAGGCAGGTTTGCGGGACTTTGAGCTGGCCCCAGGGTAGCAGGTCGGCCAGGTGTGAGGGCCGCGTCCTGGGTGGGAAGGGGAGGCCCAGCCAGCCACACTCCAGCTGCCCAGGCTGGCCCAGCAGAGGAGGGGCTGGACTCATGAGGCCACCGCTGCTCCTGCTGTCCCCGAGGGTGGCGGGAAATCGTCTGAACAGTGGCCTCCCCTAGGCGGCTCTCCTGGGCCTCAGGGATGGAGCAGGATCGTCCTTCCGGCCCAGGAACCGGCAGGGCCTCCGCACCCTCAGCTTTTAGGCAGGTTTCAGAATGGAAGGAGCTTGGCCTCTGAGGTTGGCCCAGCCTGGGTTCAAATTGGCTCCCTTGTTTTCTTGCTGGGACTGGGTGACCTTGGATGGGTCCGTGTAACCTGTCTGCCTCAGTCTCCTTGTCTTTGACAGGAAAGCACCACCTCCTGCCTGGTTGGGTCATGAGATCGTACATAGTAAGGCGAGGTTCAGGAAGGCCCTGGGCCAGGGCGGGGCACGGGGGACCCTAACCAGACGTACCCCTCCCCACCCCTCCCCACCGTCCCACTTCAGGCCTGACTGGCAATATCAAGTCAAAAAGGGCTTCTCGGCCGGGCGTGGTGGCTCACGCCTGTAATCCTAGCACCCTGGGAGGCCGAGGCGGGAGGATCGCTTCAGCCCAGACTGAGCAAGAGCAAGAACCCATCTCTACTAAAAATAGAAAAATTAGGGGGGAGGGGGGAAAAAAAAGAAAAATTAGTGGGATGCCGTGGTGTGCGCCTGTAGTCCCAGCTGCTCGGGAGGCTGAGGCAGGAGGATCGCTTGAGCCCAGGAGCTGGAGGCTGCAGCGAACTGCGATTGCAACATCGCACTCTATCCCAGGCCACAAGAGTCTTGGGAAGAGTGAACAGGTTCTGTCGTTGCTGGCTGCCTGGTGCCACTGGGACCTTAAGACTTGGGCAGCTGAGCCTCTTGCCCCAGGAAGCCACTGGCAGGGAGGGGACAGTCTGCTCCCTCTCAGGCTCTGGCCCTCTCCCCATGAGGGGCGCGAGCTCCGTCCCATGCACAAAGCATCCTCCCCTTACAGGGTAGGCTCGGGCGTTGGGGCTGACTTTGGGGTGTGAGGACCCCAGGAGCAGCCCCCAAGGTGACCAGTCACAGACCTGGTTACTTCAGTCCCTGCGATGTTTTCTGAAAAGCTGAGCTAGCTTTAAAAACCTGGAGAGAACACATTCAGACTTGAGTTTCTGGGTTCGCTCGGACATAGGAAGTTTGGCGAGCGCCGAGCTCCTGTCTCTGCATGGCCAAGGCTCGGCGGGCCAGGCCTGGGCTCCCCGGTCCCCGCTTACTGTCCACCCTGGCCAGTGGGGTTTCTTAGGATGGACAAATCTTTCTCCATTCTGGTTCTCTGTCGAAGGTAGACCTCATCATGGGCTCCCAGGAGGGCCCTGTCTCTGCGATGCCTCCTTGCTCATCGCAGCTTTTAACAAGTGGCCTATTCTCTCCAAGCCTCAGTTTCCCCCCCCTTGCCGAGTTATGGGGCTGTCGTGAGGACCCCGCCCCCAGGAGAGTGTGCACTGTGCCTGGTTGGTTACTTTCTTCTGGTCATGCCGTGCTCGTAGCAGCCAGCTCAGGGGTGTGTTCTGGAAAACGTGACCCACAAAGAAAAGTGGGAAGAAGGAAACCAGAGGTCCCCGGGAGCCCGTCCCCTGTAGGTGCCCAAGAGCTGACTCTGCACGTTGCCCGGTTCCTCACTCACCATCTTCTATGTCTTCTAGGCAGATTTTTTGAAAGGCTTGCCTGTCTACAACAAGAGCAATTTTAGTCGATTCCATGCTGACTCCGTGTGCAAAGCCTCGGTGAGTGTGTGTTTTGGGGCAGGGAGGGGTCGGGAGAATCACGGGGGGTGGGGGGGGCTGGGGGTGGCATGTGTCCCCCTGGGTTGGGGTCTTGGCCAGAACTGAGGCTGAACGTCAAGCCAGCCCCACCCCACATCCTTGTGTGTCTTCTAGTCTGCAGTGAGGGGCGGGTGCTGAATTGGGGGTGAGGGGACCCCAGGCCCGCCTGCTCTCCTAACCCACCCCTCCTCACCCCTCCTGCAGAACCGCCGTCCCTCAGTCTACCTGCCCACGCGGGAGTACCCTTCTGAACAGAGTAAGTGGCCTGTTGGTCTGTCCCATCCTGGCCGCTGAGGGCAGGGTCCAGAGACCGCCGCGGGGCATGCAGAGGTGACCTGCAGCCCCGCCCAGGCCAGACTCGGCTGGGGTTCACGGTTTGGCTACTGCAGGGTTGGGTGGGGAGGGCCTGGGGGAGGTGCGGGAGGGGCCTGTGGGGGCTTGGGCCGGGTGCACGTGCGTCTGCTCCCTCGGGAGCGGCAGAGACCCGCGTTCCGAGGGCTCCTTCGGAGTGCCAACACGCCGCATCCACGTCTGGCCCAGACGGGCCCGAGTTGGCCCTGTGTGCCGCTCATCGGCCCCGTCCCCTCCCATTCGGGTCAAGTCAGATGAGAACTTAGGCCCTGAGATGAGCATTGCTGGGTTGGGAGGCAGCAGAGCAGAGGGCGACAGGGGCCTGGGGTGGGGACCCAGCCAGGCCTGGGGTAGGCCGCGAGGGAAGGGGGTCCAGTGGAGGGGCCCACAGAGCAGGAGGACACGGACGTGATGTGTAACTGGTAAAAGCCAATCCAGGCTGGATGTGGTGGGGGCCCCCGTGGTCCCAGCTGCTCGGGAGGCCGAGGCGGGAGGATCGCTTGAGCCCAGGAGTGCAGCCTGGGCAATATCCCCAGACTCCGTCCTTTAAAACAGAATCCATCCAGGCCGGGCGCGGCGACTCACGCCTGTCATCCCAGCACTCTGGGAGGCTGAGGCGGGCAGATCGCTCGAGGTCAGGAGTTCGAGACCAGCCTGAGCAAGAGCGAGGCCCCGTCTCTACTATAAATAGAAAGAAATTAATTGGCCAACTAATATATATATATAAATTAGCCGGGCATGGTGGCGCATGCCTGTAGTCCCAGCTACTCGGGAGGCTGAGGCAGGAGGATCGCTTGAGCCCAGGAGTCTGAGGTTGCTGTGAGCGAGGCTGATGCCACAGCACTCACTCTAGCCCGGGCAACAAAGCAAGACTCTGTCTCAAAAAAAAAGAATCCATCCAAGAGGACATTGCTGGGTGGGGTTCATGGTCACTGGGCACTGCTGTGTGGATTTGTGCTCCTGCAGAGACACCTGCGTGCTGGGGCTTGTCCCCCACCCGAGGATGGGGTCTGCGCACGCAGGGAGCAGGGACCCGAGGGAGCAGCTGGCTCAGGCCTCCGCGTGGCCGTGCGTCCACTCGGAAGTGAAATCGCTGGGCTTTTGGAAGCCTCCCCAGGTGGGGCCGCTGCCTTCCCACCCAAGAAAGACCATTTAGGGCAGGGACAGGCCAGCGGGCGGCGAGCAGGGCCCGTCCCGGAGGCCAGGCCACCGCAGCCAGCTCCTTTCGCTGCCTCTCCCGTGACTCTCTCTCTCTTTCCTCCTTAGTCATCGTGACAGAAAAGACAAACATCCTCCTGCGCTACCTACATCAGCAATGGGACAAAAAGGTGAGGCGCGCGGGCTCCGGCCGGGCCGGGGAAGAGAGCCGCGGCACCCTGCCGAGGGTCCCGAGTGGGGGAAGCACTGGGGTGGCCCGTGTGGGGCTTTGAGGGCTGCGTAGGTGTTCGCTAGGCAACCCAGGAGAGGGAGGAGCGTCCCCCGGTGCAAGGCTGTGGTGCTCAGGAGGCTGGAGGCCGGGCCTCCGCAGCTCTGGCATTAGGTAGACTTTACTGGTGTGACCTGGAATCTTCTCTGAATGGTGACGTGCACACCTGCGGTTAAAACACGCTTGAGACTCGACAGCGTGTGCCTGCGGTGAGGTCATCTCCCCCAGCCCCTGGTGCCCCTGCCCCGCCACCCCGGGGTTGCCTTCCTGACAGGCGGGACTTTTTTGTCTATTTCCCCATGGAAACGTCTGCGTGTTGTTCTGTAATGTGGTCAGTTTGTTTTTTCACCTAACTTTGAGCGTTGGACAGCGACCTGCCCTGGGCAAGGTTGGAAGGGGACCCTGTGAGGAAATGACAGCTTCCGAAAATCCAAGCTGCCCGGCTCAACCCTGGTCCCCCTCCCCGGCCCCACGGGCTTTGACTCCCCCGGCAGGGAGAGGAGGTTTCCCCCAACCCGAGCGCTCCCCTCCTCCGCGGCGGCGTGTGGACGTCCCTGGGTGGCTCCGGGGCCGGGTGGATCAGCTCCGGGTGTTTGAGAAACCGGCCGTGTGTGGGCCGTTGTGACTGGTGGTGGTGACTCCCCAGGGTGCCTAGGAAATGCCGGCCTGTCACTGGCCATGCGTCCAGGCTTGCTCTGGGCAGGGCCTAGCCCGGCAGGTGCTAGGGGCCCCCGTGACCCGGGGCCCCCAGGTCACGATGCCCGCTCCGCACCCAGCTCTGTGACGCCACTGCAGGGGTCTGGGCCGGCGTTGGGGCTCACGGCCCTGTCCTCCCCTGTCCCCAGAACGCTGCCAAGAAGAGAGACCAGGAACAAGTGGAGCTTGAAGGAGAGAGCTCAGCACCGCCCCGCAAGGTGGCTCGGACCGACAGCCCAGACATGCACGAGGACACTTAAGACTCACTCCGCACGGGGCCGTGCCCTGTCTGCTCCTCGATCGCCTGCCCACCTGCCCACGTGTGTAAGCGCCCCGCCCGCCCCCGCCGGCCCCCACGCCCCGCCGTCCACACCATCCCCGCCCTCATAGGAGCCGATGTATTTATTTTCCTCGAGTTTTTATTTATGCTGTGACACGTATCAAGCGTTGGTTAAAGGGGACGTCAGGCCCAGCAGTGTGATGTTGGTAGATGCTTTTCAGAGGAAACTATAGCGTTGTTCCTCACCCTCCCCGCCACCCGGCCACTCCCCCACCCGTTCTCCCCGAGAACCAGAGTGTGTCCGGGGGTCTGGCGCGGGGCTGCGCCGCGGCCGGCGGGCGGCAGGGCGGGGCCGGGCGCAGCTCGCCTGGACAGCTGAGCAGCCTCCCCCCCGCCCACCGGTCCAGGCCTCTGAGACTCGGCCTAGACTCACGTCCCACCGGGAACTATTCCGTGCCCAGGCCTCACTCTGAGCGTGCGTGCGTGCGGGGAGCATCGGCCTTTCCGGATCTTTCTCCCAAGTCATTTTATCATGGACTAGTGCGTGCTCCGTGTCCACCCCAATAAAAGGATCTTTCCTACTCGACCTTGCGTCTTTGCTGCGCACGCCTCGGCCCCAGAGGACGGAGACCCCGGGAGTCGTCCTGCCATCAGCAAGAGGACAGAGAAGGGCCCCCGTGCCGGGGCCCCGGGGACCCCCAGCTGGATTCTCTGGCGGGCTTGCCGCGGCCGCCACGCTCACGGCCAAGACCCGCCTGGGCCGGCCCCCCCACCTCCCCTGTCACGGCGTCCCCGATGACCAGGCCGTCCCAGAGAGACGGTCGGCGGCGCCGAGGATGGAGCCGTGGTCAGTCCCGTGCTCAGGACGCGGCCGAGCAGGGTGGTGTGTGCCCGCCAGTCACCGTGGAGACAGCCTGGCCCTGCCCGGGCCCCCGAGGCATGGCGACAGCAGAGACAGCATTTGGCACGCGTGGCCGGCAGCCCACGTGGCCTGGCCTCGCTGCCCCTGGTCAGAGAGGAGGTGTACCAAGTGCCGTGGCCACTCACCGGCCCCTCTTCCGGCGGCGGGGCCGGGCGGGGCTGAGCACGGGGTGTAGGGGCGTCGGGGCTCTGGGCCTCGGTACTGGGCCTTGGGGTGCTGAGCGTCGTGGCCACAGAGCTGCAGGAGACGGCGGGCTGGGGAAGGGGCGCGCACGCCCCATGTTACCACCGCGGAGGGCCCTGCCCAGCTCTCCCGGGTGGAGCTGGGGTTGGTTCCTGTCACCACATGGGGAGTGGCTGAGCCAGCTTCGCCCAGTGCAGTCACCCAGCTGTGCCGTGGGGCCAACTAAGTGGCTTGGCCTCCCAGCCGTCAGCTGTCTGCACCGCGGGTCTTGTGGTCACAGTGTAGGTGCTCAGGAAGCCCAGCTTGGCTGCGTGCCAGGTGGCCCCAGTCCCAGGGCGGGGTGTGACCCTGCGCAGGCTTGTGGCATCACTGTTTGTCAGTGACTGAGATTGTGGGACTCCGGCTTCCAAGGTCAGGGCCCAGAGCGGGGACAGGTGGCAGCCTCACCCCTCCCCCTGGCTTGCCCAGGCTTCTCCGGCCCCCAGACCCTGCTTTGAGGGGCCGGGTCCTGTCCCCCATCGCTGCTCTCTGTCCCTGGCTCCGCTGTAACTGCCGGGTGGTCCTTCCTAACCCCCTCCTGCCCTGGCTCCTTCGGGGAGGGGGTGGCGGGGGTCCCATGGCCATGTCCCGCCTCAGCCTCCCTACCCCCCCCACAACTCCACTCCTGGACCCGCCGTGATAGGCCCCTGGGCACACGCCCTCCCTTGCTCCCACTGCTTTGGGGTCCCCTTTACCCCGATGTTCCCCCAGACTCCAGACTCTGCCTCCCCACAGCCCTTTCTCCCGCGTCCAGTGCACCCCGACGTCTCCGCGGCCTCCCGAAGCACCCCCTCCTCACACTGGCCCCCCCCAGCCTATTGGTCGGGCCGAGTCCTGTGGCGGGGCCACGTCGGGCTCTGCGCCCTTCGCCTTTGGCTGCGGACATGGCTGTCCTCGCCTTCCAGACGGACACGAGGGTCCGAGGGGCCACGTCCCCGCTCCTGAGTCGCACAGCGAAGCGCCCCAGGGACTTGGGTCTGACACCCGTCCCTGAGTGGGGCGTTTCAGCCGCTCCCCAACACCGCCCCGTGTCCGTCGTGGGGACCCCCGAGTGTGCCGCCCTCTCAGCACTGCAACTCTGGGCCCACGGTGGCCTCAGGTGCCAGTGCCTTCTGACGGGCACACCCCAAGTTCCTCCTGCCGTCCCTGGCACCCTGCTGGCATTCCAGAAAGTGCTGCCTCTTAACAAACCAGCCCCCGCCCGTTTGAGGCTGAGGCCTGTCCAGGACACAAGCCTCTGTGCTGAAACTGCTGGATCTTTCCAGCACTTCAGGATTTCTTCCTTCGAGTGGGTGGCTGAAGCCAGGGCGGCACTCGGCCCCGAATCTGGGCCGGCTCTGAGGCGGCGTGGCCTGGAGCTTTCCATCCGTGGCCCCGAGACCCAGTTCTTGGAAGGAGGCCCCCCGAGGGTCAAGCGGGCCTGTGCCAGGACGGGAGGGGTGCCCACCTCCCACCGCTCCGACCTCAGGCACTGTTGAAATATACTTTTTATTGCATTTCTGCCGTTTTACAAAAATATGACAAAATAAATTAAAAACAAATAAATAATCGCCTATTCTGTGTGTGTGTGTGTGTGTGTGTTTTCTGTCGTGTTTGTGGGTTTCCTTTCGGCTCCCCCCCGGACTGGTGGAAAGGAAAACGGCAGATGGGGGGGTGCCGGCCAATACTGGGGGCCGTCGGAGGGCAAAGCGCATCTTGCATTTCCGGCCTGCCAGCGCCACCGCGGCGCAGGGCTGATATTGCATATGAGAAGAGAAGGCTGGGCGGGCAGGCGGGCGGGCTAATGCCAGCCGCCGGGCCAGCACACGGCCTGGGGGCTGGGGCTGGGTGCCGGGGCCTCGGGGGCTTCCGAGGTGGCCGGCGGTGGCGGGGGCAGGAGGCTGTAGAAGCTGGTGTCCCCTGGCAGGGGCTGGAGGGCAGGCGGGGGCCCGACCAGGGCACAGGGCGGGCACTCGGCGGCTGGGGCCTGGCGGAGGGCGGCCCCCTCGCCCCCGCAGCCCCAGGGCCCGTCCCACTGCCAGCAGCCGGCAGGCGGCGTCGGCGGCCGGGGCAGCGGCATTGGCGGCAGCGGCGGTGGTAGTGGCGGCGGCGTGGGGCTCCAGCAGCGGCGGGCGCGGAGGGCAGGGGCGCCCACGGGGGCCAGCGCTGTCCCTGCGGAGGCGAGAGGGGCCGTTCCGGGGAGATGCCGCCCCCGCCGGGCCCCACCGGGCTGGCGACCCTGCCCACACTCCCTCCCGAGCTTCCAGGCATGTGAAGGGCCTTATTGCTTCTGATCAGAGATGGGGTGGGTGTCTCCGGGGGCCAAGCCCTGCCTCTGGGCACCGGCCTGCCCTCTGCCGGGGGAGAGGACATTTGAGGAAGTCCCTCTGGCTTCTGACCTATCTCCCTGCACTGCTGCCGCCTCTCGGGCTCCCCGGGGCGGGGGCGGGGGCAGTGAGGCCCGGGCCTCCGCTCAGCACACATGTGGGTGCAGCCTGTGGCTGAGCGCCCAGAGCTCCCTGGGTGTGCAGTCCCAGCACCCTGTCTCCAAGGAGGGCCTCCCCGAACAGCTAGGCGGCGGGGCGGGGGGTTTGCATAGAGGCCTGGGGGGTTCCAAGTCCCCCCAGAGTGAGCTGGGTGTGGGGGCCTGTGGGGGCAGGCCAGGTGGTGACGGGGCCTCCCTCATCTCTCCTGGCACTGGAGCGTGGTGGGGTGCCCCTGGCACTGGAGCGTGGTGGGGTGCCCCGGGAGGGGCACTGGGACAGGGGGCTTTGGTGTCAGGCGCGGGGCTCCCTGCTGTCCCTGGGCCCTGGACATGGAGTAGGCTTTGACTGAGAGGATCCAGCTACTACATGGACCCAGGTCCTCTCCGGTGCCAGGGACCAGGCCTCCCCTGTCGCCTCCAGCCCTCTGCCTGTGCCTGGACACCCACCCCTACCCCTAGAGCCGGCCCGGCGTCCCCACCCCCGAGTTAAAGCTTGTGACCTGAGCCTTCCTCTTCGGGCCGGGGGGCTTCCGGCTCCTCAGCCGCGGCCTCGTCCGCGGGCCCACTCCTCTGGGCCCGGCTGCCGCCACCGCTGGGGGTCGCGTCCGGCCGGGCCTGCCCGCCCGCCCCGTTGGACCCGGCCTCAGCCCGGGCCCCGCCAAAGGGGAAGAGCTTGCCGGCGTGGAAGGCCTTGGGTGGCGAGTGGCTGCGCTCCGAGTCCCGCCGCGTCTCGGGAGACTTGAGGAACTTGAAGCTGAGGAAGGCTGGCAGCCGGGTGTCGCTGCCCGTGGGCGACTGCGCGGGAGGCGGCCGGGGGCAGGCGCCGGAGCCCGCAGCCGCCGCCGCCAGCGAGGACGCGGCCCCCGAGGACAGGAACTTGCCCTGGAGCGGGATGATCTGCTTCAGCTTCATGACGTTGTTGGGCGCCAGCAGGGACCCGGGGCGCTTGGGCCTGTCGGGCGCGTGGCCGCCCGCCCCGCAGCCCTTGGCCTTGGCGGGGGCCTTCTCGGAGGCGGCGGGGTCCAGCCCGGAGCCCTCCGCCCTGGCCTCCTCCCGGCCGCTGGCGTCGCGTTCCCGCCGGGCGTGGTGCTCGGCGTGGCGCTGGCGCTCCTCCGCCTCCCGCCGCCGCCGCTGCTGCTGCTGGTAGCGGTGCTGGGCCTGGCGCTCGTGTCTCTGCGGGCGGGGCGGGCGTCACCGGCTGGCAGGAGGGGCCTCAGCCGCCACCAGCCAGGCCAGCCTGTCCGCACGAGGGGGGATCCGAACACTTATTGGATGCCCACTGCATCCCTGGGCCCTTGATGGGGCTCTCTCAGGAAGGGTGAAGAGATCCCAACACTTATTGGGCACCAACTGAATCCCTGGACCCACTCTGGGGCTCTCTGGGGAAGTGGGGAGGAAGAAATCCAAACACTTATTGGATGCTAACTGCATCCCTGGGCCCACGATGGGGCTCTCTCAAGAAGGGTGAAGAGATCCCAACACTTATTGGGCGCCAACTGAATCCCCGGACCCACTCTGGGGCTCTCTGGGGAAGTGGGGAGGAAGAAATCCAAACACTTATTGGATGCTAACTGCATCCCTGGGCCCACGATGGGGCTCTCTCAGGAAGGGTGAAGAGATCCAAACACTTATTGGGCGCCAACTGAATCCCCGGACCCACTCTGGGGTTCTCTGGGGAAGTGGGGAGAGAGACTGAAATGCTGATTGGCACCAGTGGAATCCCTGGACTCACACTGGGGCTCTCAGAGGAAGGGGGGAAGAGATCCAGACACTTATTAGGCACCAAATGAATCCCTGGACCCATGCCAGTGCTTTCTGGGAACTGAGAAAAAAACAAGTATTCACTGGCCACCAACTCTGTCCCCGGCTGACCGTGTTCCAGACAGAGCTGTGACCAGAGCCCGCCACAGTCTGCGTGGTACGGCCTGGTAGCCAATAGCCAAGCGAGACTTTGTCAATGTGAATTTAAATTCATTACGATTCCTGGCCAGGTGGTGCGGTGGCTCACGCCTGTGATCCCAGCACTGTGGGAGGCCGAGGCGGGAGGACCGCTTGAGCTCAGGAGTTCGCAACCAGCCTGAGCAAGAGCGAGACCCCGTCTCTACTAAAAACAGAAAAACTAGCCGGGCGTGGTGGCGCGTGCCTGTGGTCCCAGCTACTCAGGAGGCTGAGGTGGGAGGATCGCTTGATGCCAGGACTTTGAGGTTTCTGTGAGCTATAATGACACCACTACACTCTACCCAGGGTGACAGAGTAAGACTCTGCCTCAAAAAAAAAAAAAATCATTAAGATTCAATAAAACATAGTTTCTCAGTGGCACCAGCCCCAATTACGACACGCTCGCTCGCTGCCTGTAGCTAGGGCTACACCGACAGTGCCCATAACCGAGCGCTGCCACCAGCCAGGAAGCTGAGAGCTCCTTGGCCCATTCTGCCATTTTCTGAAGAATGCGGAAGACACTGGCCTTCTAGAAGGATCCGTCATGTCCCCAGTCCCCAGTGGGGATGCTGTCAGGGGAGCTGGCAGATGACAGACTGTTCTTGAGGGCCAGCCTGGTCCTGGATGCCACTGGGACACCGGGAGCGACCAGGCCATCGCGAGCCCTGACGGTCACACCTGCGTCTGTGCGCGGGCCCTCGCGCCAAGGGCTGGTGGCTCGGACCTGAGAGCTGAGACCTGTCACTAGCGAAGCCCCCCCCCAGCGAAGGAGTGAGGCGAGCCTGGCCCCAGCCCACGTACCTTGAAGGCCTCGCGGCGCTGGTATTCCAGCTTGGCCATCTCCTCGGCCACCCAGCCCGGGATGTCGGGGATGGCCACGTGGATGAGGTACTTGAGGAGCAGAGCGAAGTGCTGAGGGGACGGCAGAGAGGCGACTGCAGCTCTGGGATTGCGCTCCCCGAACCCCGCCCCGAGGACCCCGGCCCGGGACCCGCCCCTCGGGACCCCGCCCCCGGGACCCCGCCCCTCGGACCCCGCCCCCGGGACCCCGCCCCTCGGGACCCCGCCCCCGGGACCCCGCCCCTCGGGACCCCGCCCCCGGGACCCCGCCCCCCGGGACCCCGCCCCCAGCCACACCTCGAGCACCACCACGGACACGATGGCCGCCTCCGGGCTCAGCCAGGGGAACAGGCGCTGCAGCTGCCCACACTGGCCGATCAGGTAGCAGTTGACCACGATCGCCAGGACGCCCATGGCCTCCATCACCTTCTGCGGGGCGGCAGGGGGGGCTCAGGCAGGATTCGGCCGCCCTCCCCCGGCCCTCCCCGCTGCACCCTGGCTCCCTCCTGGCCGAGGCCCAGAGACCTCGGCCTCCCTCCCACCTGCCACTGGCCGATGCTCTCCACGCGCTGGCCGAAGGGCCGCTGCAGCCCCGTGCACAGCTTGAAGGCGTCGCTGCGGATCTCGATGAGGTTGTTGACCAGGGCGCACAGCGCGGCCAGGGGGAAGGCGGACGAGAAGAGCACGACGTAGCCGAACTGCACGAACATCTCCTGGTAGTCCTGGAACGTGTCCTGCAGGCAGGCAAGCGTGAGACCTGCACGCCTCCCGCCTCGGACCGCCTTCCACCCAGCCTGGCTCCCTCCGACAATCTCGTGGGGACCCAGGGTGGCTCCCCATCCTCAGCCAGTCCAGAGGCCTCCATCCGGCTGGGCCTCCCCCTCTTGCAGCCCCCCAACCCGCTAAGGCCCGTTGTCAGCCCCTCCCGCCACCTGCACCCTCGGACCGCGTGCGCCGCCCCTCACCCCCTCCCACCACCTGCACCCTCGGACCGCGTGCGCCGCCCCTCACCCCCTCCCACCGCGTGCACCCTCGGACCGCGTGCGCCGCCCCTCACCCCCTCCCACCGCGTGCACCCTCGGACCGCGTGCGCCGCCCCTCGTCACCTCATACTTCTTCATGCAGCTCTCCAGCTCGGCCTGGGTGAGCTGGGGCGAGTGCTCCTCCTCAGGAGGGTCGATCCAAGACGACCGGTTCTGCCGCCGCTGCCTCCGGGTGGAGTCGCCGCTGGAGCTGGGCTCCGAGTCCGGGCCACCGTCGGGTCCCTGGTCTCGGCCCTCGCCTCCCGCCCGGCGGAGCAGGATGGCTGGGGGCTCCCGCTCAGGGCTGCTGGGGGCCCCCTCCGCCTCGTCGTCTTCCTCGGCCAGCGTGAACACACCGGGCTCCAGCCCCTTCTCCACCATGGTGGGGCTCCCCTCCTCCAAGAGGGCCTCCGGGCTCGGGCCCGGCCGGCGCGGCCCAGCACCGCGCGCGGCGAAGCTGACCTTCTTCAGCCGGAGCCCGCAGTCCAGGAGGCCGCCTTCCTCGCCCTCTTCCTCCTCCTCCTCCTCCTCTTCCTCATCGTCTTCTTCTTCCTCCTCCTCCTCTTCCTCCTCCTTGCGCCCCCGAGGCCCGTCCCCCGCCTCCCCGCCTTCCCCTGCCGGCCGCCTCTCCACCGTGGCCGCCGCCTCCTCTTCCTCCTCGGGCGCCCCGCAGCCCCCGCTGAGACACCTGCGGCCTCCCGCAGCGCCGCTGCCACCGCCCTCCTCAGCCTGCGGCTCTAGGCGGCGGGGCGCGGGGCGTCGCGGGCTCAGCAGGCCGAGCAGGGCACGGGCCAGCTCCCAGACGGCGCGCGCGCCCAGCTCGCCGCGGCTCAGCCGCCGGTACAGGTGCGGCTGCAGGACCTCTCGCACGTTCTGGAGGAACTGGCGGGTGATCAGCAGCGTGGCCAGCATCTGGGGGCGGGAGGGGCGGAGAGAGGAGCATGGGGGGCAGGCGGGGCTCTGGGCACTAGCATGGGGCACCGTCGGGGAGCCCTGCGCCCAGACTCGCACGCTCGACCCCATTCGTAACCTGCGGACACGCCCGGACACCAGCGCTCAGCCGCCGTTCACAGCTGCCCGCACCGCAGCCTGGCACGCCCCAGCGCCCCAGCCGCCCCCGGGTGGGCGAGGCGGGGCCCCCAGCCGCCTGCGCCCAGTTGCCCGGTTGGCGGAGCCGGATCCCCTCCGCGCATGCGCCTCAGCTCGGCTTCCCCAGCCCCGCACAGCCAGGCCGCCCGCCCTGCCAGGCCCCGGCGGCTCGCCCCTGCCCGTACTTTGGCCCGGGCCGCGAGAAGGAGGCCCCGGAGGGAGAGGAGGAGCAGGCGGAACCGCAGGGCCGCGAGCGGGACCAGCACCGCCCGCAGCTGCCGCTCGAGGCTCTGGGACAGGGACAGCACGAGCAGGAGCTGTGGAGGGACCGACGGACAGGTGGGGGGACAGGCAGAGAGGACGCACGGATGACGACAGAGAGGAGAGAAGGATGGAGGGAGGAGAGGGGCTGGAGAGCCCTTGGACCCCTTGAGCCAGCTCGGCCCGCGGGCCGCCGTGGGCGCAGGGACCTCACCTCTTTCAGGCGCTCCATGTCCTTGAGGTAGAAGCCGATGTAGAAGAGGCTCAGGTAGGAGTTGACAAACTGGAACTGAAGGAAACAGGCAGGCGGCCTTCACCCTGCCGCCCCCCACCCCCCGGGAGCCCTCCCTGCGCCCCCCACAGACCCACGGCCCCGGGAGCCCTCCCTGCGCCCCGCTCAGACCCGCGGCCCGGGAGCCCTCCCTGCGCCCCACTCAGACCCACTCCCCGGGAGCCCTCCCTGCGCCCCGCTCAGACCCACGGCCCCGGGAGCCCTCCCTGCGCCCCGCACAGACCCACGGCCCCGGGAGCCCTCCCTGCGCCCCGCTCAGACCCACTCCCCGGGAGCCCTCCCTGCGCCCCGCTCAGACCCACTCCCCGGGAGCCCTCCCTGCGCCCCCCGCACAGACCCACTCCCCAGGAGCCCTCCCTGCGCCCCCCACAGACCCACGCCCCGGGAGCCCTCCCTGCGCCCCGCTCAGACCCACTCCCCCGGGAGCCCTCCCTGCGCCCGGCTCAGACCCACGGCCCTTGCGGTCGCGCCTGCCTGCTGGCGGCCACTCACCAGGACGACCTTGATGATGAGGTGTTTCTCATAGGCGCTCTCCAGCCGGTAGTTCTCTGGGGGCCGAGGGGGACAGTGAGGGGGCGGCCCTGACCCCCGAGGGCAGCGGGGATCCCGAAGGGTGGTGGGGACAGAGGAATCCCTCCCCCAGGCGGGGAGCGGCCCCCCAGGCAGGGCGTACCCATGTCGTTGAGCCAGACAGCGAGCTTCTTGTAGCCCTCGGCGCTCGCGCTGACAAGCAGGGCCAGCACCACCTTGGGCAGGAAGCGGGCCAGGCGGGGCAGCCCCTTGACGCTGAGCACCAGCTCCTGCGAAGCAGCGGGGCGCGGGTTCGCGGCTCACCCTGCTGGCTGGCGGGGCTCAGCTCGAGGCGGAGCTGGGCCTGCGGTCGCCAGGTCGGGTCAAGGCAGGGCCGGGGTGTGTGGGTGGGGGGCGCGTCGGGGGTCACCTGCAGCTGGAAGCAGCCGAGCATGAGCAGGAAGACGCAGGCCAGGCTCGCCAGGCACAGCGGGAAGCTGACGAGCAGCTGGAAGAGCAGCCGCTTCCAGGGCGGGTAGTAGAACTCCTCGGCTCGCGTCACGGGGCTGATGCGTCGCACGCCCTGATGGCGGGCAGGGGCCGGGCCCAGCGTGAGACCAGAGGGGCCACCTCTGCCCCACACTGTGCTTCCTGAGCCTAAGAACCTCAGTGTCCTGCCGCGCCTTGGCTCTCTCCCTGCACCCACCCTGGCCGCGCTTCCAAGTCCCTCGGTCGCAGCGCGCGCCGCCCCAGGCAGAGCGCACCCTCTTTGCGCACGCCAACCACAGCGCCACGGCTCCTGCGGCGCCGCCCGCGCACCCTCTCTCCTTTACCCCATTTCCCCCCCCCCCACCCTGAACTCAACCCCGACCGACTGACCCTGAACTGGGGGCGTGGCTCCTCCACGGCTTCCCCGGGGGAGTCCAGAGTCCCCCACTTGTAGGCTAGCTCGGCACCCCGCCGCTTCCATTCCTCTAAGAACAGCGTCGACCAGATCACATTGAAGAGAGCGAAGACCACGCAGGACACGTCCCGGCTTGTCTGTGGGTGGTGGCGGACGGCTGAGCTGTTCGGCCAGGCCAGCCCAGGGAAGGGGGGGGGGAGTGCCTTTGGGTCCCCTAGTCCCTGCCCGGGCCGCCCCCACCTGGTACCTGATCGGCCTCCGTGAACGTGTACAGGACGGAGCCAAAGACAGCTGGGTACACCATCGCGGACGTGTAGAAGCCCAGCCAGGCGAAGTACATGGCGATCTTCACGCCGAAGTAGTCGCAGATGTCATCTGCCGGGGAACAGAGGTGTGTCCCCGTCACCCCCTGTCTGCCTGCCGGGACACCCCTCCCATCCCCCACCCCAAGCCGCACCTAGAGGCTGGTTTTCACACACGGCCTGCACCCATGACTTCATGAGGCGGTTCAGGATGCGCTGCTCGTGGACCGGGAACACCTGCTGGATGATCCCGCGGGCCACCAGCTCGGGGACTGTAGGGGGACGAGCACAGGTGACCCCGGCTCCTCCACCCCGACCCCAGCCCGACCAGCCCCCCACTGTCTGAAACCAAGTCACGGCTCTTTGCCTGCTCTTAAGCGCACAGAGGCTCTTCCCAGGAGAGGAGTCCCGCCAGGACGGAACATCCGATCCTCCTCCAGAATTTGGGAGGTTTAGGGGCAGGCGGGGGCAAGATTCGGCTCGGGCGGCCAGGGCGCCACTCCGAAAACTGTTGGCTTTTAAATTAACAGCTGTTCTGGCGCTCAGTTTGTGGCCCCAAACGTCTGAGGAATGGCACAAAGTTGGCATCGGAAAGGTGACTTGCAGCTTGCTCGGGTGTTCTGGAGGGGAAACCGAGGCCCAGGGCTTCGTGATACAGTACGTGGGGCGCTGTCCATGGTCCCTGCCGCTGCCGCATCCCAGACCCAGAGAATGAGCCAGCGCCTTATGCGGTGTAAGGCCGGGCGCCCCCTTGCCAGTTGGTTGCCCAAACTCTTATGTCACCATTGACTGGTTTGGCCATAAGGGCGCGCCCCACCCTCCGGTCGATAGGTGTTGTCCTCCCTCACGGGCCCGCCCAGCCTGCGGTCTGCCTGTGGATTGGAGGCGCCGCCTGCCGCCTTGCTTCACTGATTGTGTCTCAGACGAGTTGTGGAGCGCCTCGCCCTGCTTGGCACGCAGGTTCTGCAGCCAGAAGCGGATGATGCTCTGACGTTCCTGGGGGGGGGTGACAGGGCGTGAGCGAGGGGCGCCCACGCGCGCCGCCCGCCGCGTGTGCGCGGGCCACGGGGCCAGCTCCTGGAGGTGAAGAAGCGCAGCTCGCTCTCCACGTTCTCGTAGATGAAGTCCTGTGAGGGCAGAAGCCCGCGGGTGCCGCCGCCGAACTCGGCCTTGACGGCCGGTTGCGCCAGGCGCCCCCGCTCAGTCGGACCCCTCGGAGCAGGCTGCGGGGGCGTGCGGAGGCGGCGGTCGAGCGGAGCCCTGGCCGGTCGCCGCGACCCCAAGCTGACGCTGGGTGGCCCTCCGCTGAGCTTTGGGGCCACTGCTGAGCTTGTGGTCGGCCCGTCTGTAGCTTGGTGGCCCCCCCCAGCTGAGCTTGGGTGGCCCTACCTGCTGGCTTGTGGTGGCCCCTATGCTGGAGTGGTGGCCTCGGCTGAGCTCGGTGTCCCTGGCTGCTGCGGCTTGGTGGCCCCTCCGCTGAGCTTGGTGGCCCCCCCAGCTGAGCTTGGTGGCCCCTCCGCTGAGCTTGGTGGCCCCTCCTGCTGAGCTTGGGTGGGTTCCTCGCTGAGCGTTCGGTGGCCCTCCTGCTGGGAGCTTGGTGGCCCCTCCACTGAGCTTGGTGGCCCCTCCAGCTGAGCTTGGTGGCCCCTCTGCTGAGCTTGGTGGCCCTGCGGCGCTCCTCTCTCCAGGCGCCAGGTCGGCACCGGGAAAGGGCGGTCACCGGGTGGCGGGCCCCGCGACAGGCAGGACACCCGGGACACTCGCCTCTCGTACGTGGCGGTGACGAAGAAGGCGTAGGCCCGCGTGTGGCGGTGGTGGCGGACTTGCACGATGAGCTCGGGGATGCCCACGCGGATGTGGTTCAGCAGCCAGAGCAGCGTGTGGTCATCGGTCGTGTCTGCCAAGGGGCACAGGGACCGATGGCTCCGGCCGCGCGGGAGGCCCCCTTGCATGTCCCCGCCCTGGGAAGCCGAGCTCGGGAGAGCCGCGTCTGGGCACCGGGCGCGCGTACCTGGGAATGTCACCAGCACGTCGCAGTTCTCTGTAGGCACCGTCTTCATCCATGCCTTGTGGGACACCAGGTAGCGACCGGCCTGCAGGAGCCGCTTCCCGAAAAGCTTATCTGGGGGGGCGGCGTGGCAGGCCCGGGTCAGGCCGCTCTGGGGCCAGACCCCAGCCTCCAGCTTTGGTTCCTCCAGCCCCGGCCAGTTCCTCAGCATTCTGCCTGGCACTCAAGGCCCTGAGAACCCCGGCCTTGGCTCATTTTCCTCCCTCCGCGTCCTTGCACCGGCCAAGCCTCCCTCCAGGAAGGCCGCCCTCCCCCCCAGGTCCTCTCTTACAAATCTTACTCATTCTGGAGGCCCAGCTCCGCCTCCAAAACCACAATCGATAGGGCGCTCGCTCGCTGGCAGCCCCGGGCACTTCACCACGCTATGACAGCGCGTCCCTACAGCAGCGCAGCCCCACGAACTGGGTGCGGTTCTTACCCCCATTGCACGGGTGAGGAAACTGAGGCCCAGAGCGTTCAAATCACGCGCCCAAGGTCACAGGCGAGCTGGGATTTGAACCCGGGACCGTGCGAGTCTATCCTCCGCGGGGAGGCTCTCAAGCGAATCATCCCTGCCCTGCCGCGGTCCCACAGCCTCGGGGTGGCGGGGCGCAGCCCCAGGCTGGGGCTCCCGGAGGGGCGTGTCCGCGTCCCCGAGCCGGGGACCCCCGCCCGCCACGCCGTCCCAACCCCGCTCGGGCGGCAGCCGCAGTGCCGGGAGGCGCCGGCCCCTCCGCGGGACGCCAAGCCAGGGGCGTTTGGCCCCAGCCCTCCTCCCCGTGCCGCGACGCGGGCTCCCGGGCACCTGCACCCCGCCTGGTCCAGCCGCCGCACACATACCCAGAACTCCGGACGCCGGGGCCGCGGGCTCGCCCTCCGGCGGGGGCCTCTTGCCGCGCTCGCCCTCCAGGGACGCGGCCCCGGAGCCGGAGGCGGCCTCGGACATGGCGAGGGCAGGTCGGGTCAGGGGCTGCGAGCGGCCCGGGCGCCGGGGGGCCGCGGGCTCATGGGGCCGGCGCCGCGGCGGAGCGCGCGGGAGGAGGAGACAAAGGCCGCGCCCGCCCGCCCGCGCGCGCGGGCCGCCGTCCTCGAGCGCTGCTTCTCGTCCCCGCCCGAGCCGAGCCTCGATTCCGCTCCCCACCCGGGCGCGCGTCACTCTCCCGGTTCTCTCCTCGGCCCGCCCGCCTCGCTCTCGGGTTCTGGTCTCCGCCCGCGTTGTTTTTCTGGGTCTCGTTCCCGCCCGCCCGCCCGCCTCGCTCTCTGGTGCTCGTCCCCGCCCGCACCGGGTGGCGCATTCTCCGCGACTCGTCCCCGCCCGCGCCGCGTTCTAGTCCCCGCCCCTTAACCTCAGTTTCCCCATCTGTACAACCGGGACTCCGGAGGCGCGGTTGGGAATGTGAGTCGTGCGTGGTTTGCCGACGGCAGGCCGTGGGAGGGGGCGCGCCTGGTCGCAGGAGATTCCAGGTGGCGGTAACCTCAGCGCCACCGCAGGACTGCAAACTGCAAATAGTCGCAGCGGGCGCCACTCAGCGGCCTGGACACTTGCCATGCCCTCTTCGCCCACTGCACCCCTACTCCCTGCAGGAGGGAGCCCCCTTAGAAAAGATCCCACATATCTGGAGGCTTTGTTGGGAGAAAAAAAGAAACAAACAACCAAAAAAAAAAAAAGAAGAAGAAGAAAGAAAAGAAAAGATCCGAGAGAGTTGCCAAGTTTAGCAAATAAAAACAGTCCACCCAGGTAAATGCAAATTTCAGGCCAACGCATACATGTTCAGCATGTCCAGAGTGTGACTTGGGGCCGGGCGCGGTGGCTCACGCCTGTCATCCCAGCATTCTTAGGGAGCCCCGAGCGGGGGGTGGGCGGGGTGGGGTGGATCGTCGAGGTCAGGAGTTCGAAACCAGCCTGAGCAAGAGCGAGGACCCCCGTCTCTACTATAAATAGAAAGGAAATTAATTGGCCAACTCAATTATATATAGAAAAAAAAAAATGAGCCGGCGTGGTGGAGCATGCCTGTAGTCCCAGCTACTCGGAGGCTGGGGCAAGGAGATCGCTTGAGCCCAGGAGTTGGAGGGTTGCTGTGAGCGAGGCTGACGCCACGGCACTCACTCTAGCCTGGGCAACAGAGTGAGACTCTGTCTCAAAAAAAAAAAAATAAATTAAAAAGAATGGTGCCAACCAGACACTGTATAGGATGACAAAAGCTAGTTGAGGTCCTCAAGGTTTTGGGGTTGCCGGCGGGCGAGGTGGCTCACGCCTGTAATCCCAGCACTCTGGAGGCCGAGGCGGAGGATTGCTCAAGGTCAGGAGTTCGAAACCATCCTGAGCAAGAGCGAGACCCCGTCTCTACTATAAATAGAAAGAAATTAACCGGCCAACTAATATATATAGAAAAAAAATAATGAGCCGGGCATGGTGGCGCATGCCTGTAGTCCCAGCTACTCGGGAGGCTGAGGCAGGAGGATCGCCTGAGCCCAGGAGTCTGAGGTTGCTGTGAGCGAGGCTGACGCCACGGCACTCACTCTAGCCTGGGCAACAGAGTGAGACTCTGTCTCAAAAAAAAAAAAAACACAAAACCAAAAAACCTGTGACTTGGGGCACAGTGCCCCTAAAAATGTCAGGTCTGGTTCTCGATGCCCGGCACACAGTTGGCGCTTGGTGCATACGTGTTACCGATTGGAACAGGCAGACACGGAGAGTGTCACCGTTCGCTGCTATTATTGCACAGCTGAGAAAAGCCGAGCAGGGCGTGCGCGGGGCGCTGGAGCTCCAGCCCGTGGGACAGACGGGAGCGCGCCGCCCGCCCGCCCGCTGCGCTGCGCCCGCGAACCGCAGAGCCGGCCGCGCGAGGGAGCCCCGGGGACCTGCCCAGCCGGCGCCCTGCCCCGCGGCTCGCGCGGCCCAGGGCCCACCTGCAGGGGATCCCCGAGGCTGCCCGTTCTGGCTTCCGGGGAGCCGGAGCCCGACCGGACACTTGGCCCTGCAGGTGCAGACCTGGGCCAGGGGGAGAGTCAGGGAAGCCCGGATGGGACACGGGGGGAGCTGCGCTGGGGGTGGTTCCCGGAGGGCTTCCTGGAGGAGGAGGGCATCTTGGAGCTAGACCTTGAGGATGCGTTTGCCCAGTGGCGGAGGGCATCCGAGGGCCGAGGGGTCGGCGGGAGGGAGAGCTGGGGAGGAAACAGCGTCTGCAGCGTTTTTCCAGGAAAAGCTAGTAGGAATCTTCCCAGGGCGTGGGCTCCCCGGAACTCATCCCTCCCGGTCACTGAGCTGCCCTGAGCTTCCGGTCTCAAGCCGGGCGCAGAGAGGTGCAGCCCCTCCGTTCCCGGACGCGAAAACCGAGCGCACGCGGGCCGAAGGCGACGGCGCGGACAGCTGGGAAACACCCGGCTCCTCGCCGTGACCGGCGCTCGGTGCCAAGCTCCGTCCCCTCAGCTCACTTCCCTTGTCTCGGATCCCCGCTGCTCTAGGACCCTAAATCGTCGGTCTACTGTTTCCCGGGGAACCGCATTTCGCTACACCCACCCCGGTGGAGCCCCCGCCCGCTTTCCCTTGCGCCAGCCAATGGAAACGAAGGTCCTCAGCCGGTGGGCGGGACGTCTCCCCAGGCGCCCAGTGGCAGTCGGGAACCGCTGAGCCCTTAGCCAGTCACGCCGCGGAGTGGGCGGGGCCTCCTGCCCGGACTTGAAGCCACGCCGGCAGGTCGGGCAGGCGTGAGGCCGGCTGTAAGTCCATGTGGCGGGAGTTGTGGACCACGGCTGCCCGGGCGGCACGCGGGCCTCGCAGGTGGGACGGCCGGGGAAGGGGTGTGGCAGCGTGGGGGTGCAGCCTGCACCCCAGATCCGCTCCCTGGGTTAGAGGGGGCCCGAGTCCATGCCCGTTCGCGCTCTTCCGCGCCTGCGTCTGCCCGCGCGCCCCCCCGAGCCCGGGTCTCCCCTGGGCCGCCTTCCGGCCACAGAGCCCCCCGGGCCGGTCACCCTGCGGCCTCGGCTCCTCCGGGCCGCGCGCCCCCCGGCCGCGGGGCTCCGGCCCGGGACGACCCCTGACCTTTGACCCCTCGGTCGACCCGCCGCTCCGGGGGGCGGAGCGCTCCAGGCGCGCCGACTCGCCCTCTTGCGCTCCAGGCTGTGCCTGCGCCGGGGCTCCGGCGCTCCGGCCCCCAGCCCCGGGGCCACCGTCTTCGCGCTGAGCTCGGGCCAAGGCCGCTGCGGCGTCGCGGTGATCCGGGCCAGCGGCCCTGCCAGCGGCGACGCGCTCCGCATCCTCACGGCGCCCCGGGCCCTGCCCGCCGCCCGCACGGCCAGCCTGCGCCTGCTCAGCGACCCCCGCTCCGGGGAGCCCCTGGACCGCGCGCTGGTGCTCTGGTTCCCAGGTGAGCGCGTCCCCGGCCCCGAGCCTCCCGGGGCTCTCACGACCCGGTTTCCCCCGCTGCGGGGGTCTGCCCACGCCGCGCCCTCCTCCTCCTCCTCCTCCTGACTCCCGGCTTGCCGGCCACGTCAGGTCCCCGGAGTTTCACGGGTGAGGACTGCGTGGAGTTCCACGTGCACGGAGGCCCCGCCGTGGTGAGCGGCGTCCTGCAGGCCCTGGGTGAGTTGCAGCCGTGGGTTCGAGGCCCGGCTCTGCCGGTGGTCCTGGCTGGGGACCGGGGGGCTCAGGACCCCGCGGCCTTCCCGCAGGCAGCGTGCCAGGGCTGCGGCCGGCAGAGGCAGGAGAGTTCACCAGGCGCGCGTTCGCCCACGGGAAGCTGAACCTGACCGAGGTGGAGGGGCTGGCCGACCTGATCCACGCGGAAACCGAGGCGCAGCGGCGGCAGGCCCTGAGGCAGCTGGACGGGGAGCTGGGCCAGCTCTGCCGCAGCTGGGCCGGGACCCTCACCAAGGCATGTGCCCCGTTGGCCCATTCCCTGCCTCAGAGACCCCACCTGTCCGCCCCCTGCATGAGAGCCCTCCACCTGCGCGTTCTCTACAAGAAAGCAACCTGCCCACGAGCTGCCAGTCTGGCCCCTTAGGTCATGCTGTGCGCGCGCGGGGAAATCGGAGGGGAGACAGTGGGTTCCCAGGTGGGTTCCCAGGCGCCCGGACCACCATTTGCCTCCCCTCCCCCAGGCTCTGGCCCACGTGGAGGCCTACATCGATTTCGGTGAGGATGACAACCTGGAGGAGGGTGTCCTGGAGCAAGGTGAGTCTGCCTGGAGGTGAGGGACAGGGACACCTGGCATCTGAGCTCCCCAAGGTCCCCCTCACTCCGTCCCCTCTGCCTGCCTTCCCTCACCTGCAGCGGACGTGGAAGTTCGGGAGCTGGAGGTGGCGCTGGGTGCGCACCTGCGAGATGCCAGGCGTGGGCAGAGGCTGCGCTCGGGGGCGCACGTGGTGGTCACTGGACCCCCCAACGCGGGCAAGAGCAGCCTGGTGAACCTGCTCAGTGCGTGGCAGGCGGTGAGGGGCGGGGCCTGGCGGTGAGGGGCGGGGCCTGGCGCCGGGGGCGGGGCCAGGAGCTGAGAAACTCATTTGTTCAGAGCCGGGGAGGGGCCAGAGTGGACCGAAGCTCTGTCCAGACCCCGGGTGGAGCCTGGGGGAGCAGCTCCTGTGCCTCTACTCTGTCCCCTTTCTGACCCCGACCCCAAGGCCGGAAGCCTGTGTCCATCGTGTCCCCGGAGCCTGGGACCACTCGAGATGTGCTGGAGACCGCCGTGGACCTGGCCGGCTTCCCTGTGCTGCTGAGCGACACGGCGGGCTTGCGCGAGGGCGCGGGGCCAGTGGAGCAGGAAGGCGTGCGGCGGCCGGGGAGAGGTGGGCACACGGGGGTGGACAGATGGGGCGGGGCAGAGAGGGGGTGGTGCTGGGGGTGGGGTGGGAGGTGGGCTGGGGGGCAGGCTGGGGTGGGCTGGGAATGGGCAGAGGGGAAGGGTTGGGCAGGTGGTGGTGGGTTGACGGGTGGGGTTTGGGGCAGTGGGTGGGGCTGGCAGACTGGTCGGTGGAGGGTTCGCGAAGCACCGCTCCGCCTGCTGCTTTTCTGCGCTGTGCAGTTTATTTGTCATGCCTTCGCGGATGGGGCGCGTGGCCGGGCCGCCGGTCATGGTGGTTCTCGCGCGGGTGTCGGAGAGAGGTCACTAAGCTCCTTCGAGTGGGGACCTCAGCGCTTTGGTTCTCATTAAGCCCCGCCCCTGCCGCCCCCTGCGTGTTTGCCCCGCCCCCCGCTCGCGCCCCGAGCCTGCACCTGCTCCACTTGGCGCCGCCCTCCGTGGGCTCTTTCTGCTTCCCCAGGCTGGAGCAGGCGGATATCATCGTGGCCATGCTGGACGCCTCTGACCTGGCCTCTCCCTCCAGCCGCGACTTCCTGGACACAGTCGTAGCCACCGTGGGCGCTCGCAGCCCCAGGGAGGGCGGCCAGCGCCTTGTGCTGGTGCTGAACAAGTCGGACCTGCTGCCCGCCGAGGGCCCCCGCCCCGGCCCCGGCCTGCCCCCCAGCCTGCTGCTGTCGTGCCTGACGGGAGACGGGCTGCACGGCCTCCTGGAGGCCCTGCGGAAGGAGCTGGCTGCAGTGTGAGCCCCCCGCGCCCGCCCCCACTTGCCCTGACCCAAGTTCCAGCGGAGGCTGAGCCACTGGCCTTGTCGGGCTCGCACTGGCCCTCGACTTTAGTCTCTATATCTACGAAGTGGGTACAACCACTTCCCCTTCCAACAGTGGTTGCAAAAGGTTGAGCCAGGCCGGGCGTGGCAGCTCACGCCTGCAATCCCAGCACTTTAGGAGGCCGAGGTGGGAGCATTGCTTGAGGCCAGGCGTTGAAGACCAGCCTGGGCAACGTCATGAGTCCCCATGTCTACAGATAATTTGAAAATTAGCTGAGCGTGATGGCGCATGCCTGCAGTCCCAGCTACTCAGGAGGCTGAGGCAGGAGGATTGCTTGAGCCCAGGAGTTGAGGCTGCAGTTAGCTGTGATGACGCCACTGCAGTCTAGCTAAGGCAACAGGATGAGACCCTATCTCAAATAAATAAATAAAAGAGGTTGCTGGCTCCCACCTGTAATCCCAGCTCTCTGGGAGGCTGCCTTGGCATCAGCCTCGGTCACAGCAACCTCAGATCCTGCGGCTCAAGCGATTCGTCCTGCCTTCAGCCTCCCGAAGTAGGCTAAGACTACAGGCATTGCGCCACCACGGGCCGGCTAATCTATATGTACCTATAATAAGCTTGAGGCGAACCACCCACTTCAGGCCTCCAGAGTGTTAGGATTACAGCAAGAGCCACCACGACCGGCCCTGATTTTTCTCTACTATGATATTATTGGCAATTAATTGTATTGATAGGTAGAGACGGGGTCTCCTCTTGCTCAGGCTGGTTTTCGAACTCCTGACCTCGAGCGATCCGCCTGCCTCAGCCCCCAGAGAGCTGGGAGTTACAGGGGAGCAGCAACCTCTTTTATCTTAGTTTATCTTGAGATAGGGTCTTCATCTGTACCTTAAGCTAAGACTGCAGTGGCGTCATCACAGGCTAACGCAGGCCTCAATCTCCTGGCTCAAGCGATCCTCCGTGCCTCAGCCCTCGCTGAGTTAAGCCTGGGACGTGCAGGCATGGCCATCCACGCTCAGCTAATTTTGTCAAATTTTGTGTAGACCACGGGGACTCACGATGTTGCGCCCAGGCTGCGTTTCAACGCCTGAGGGCCTCAAGCAATGCGCTCCCGCCTCAGCCCTCTAAAGTGCTGGGATTGCAGGCTGAGCCACGCGCGCCCGGTCCTGCGCTCACCTTTTGCAACCACTGTTGGAAGGGCGAGTGGATTGTACCCACTTCGTAGATATAGAAACTAAAGGTCCGGAGGGCCAGTGCCGAGCCCGACAAGGCAGTGCTTCGCCTCCGCTGGACTTGGCGTCAGGGCAAGCGCGGGGGGCGGCGTGCGGGCGGGCTCACACTGCAGCCAGCTCTTCCGCAGGGGCCTCCAGGAGGCCGGGGCAGCCCGTCTCCCGTCAGGCACGACAGCAGCAGGCTGGCGGGGCAGGCCCGGCCGGGGCGGGGGCCCTCGGGGGGCAGCAGGTCCGACTTGTTTGCAGCACCAGCACAAAGGCGCTGGCCGCCTCCCTGGGGGCCCCTGCGCCCCCACGGGTGGCTCGACTGTTGTCCAGACAGTCGCGGCTGGAGGGAGGGGAGGCCAGGTCAGAGGCGCTCCAGCATGCCACAGATTGATATCCGCCTTGCTTCCAGCCTTGGGGGAATGCAGAAAAGAGCCACGGACGGGCGGCGCCAAGTGGAGCAGGTGCAGGGGGCAACACGCAAGGGCGCGAGGGGCGCTTACATGAGAACCAAAGCGCTGAGTCCCCAGGCCTGAGGGTCCCCACTCGAAGGAGCTTAGTGACCTTCCTCTGATCAGAAGGATGAAAAATAAAATGAACAGGGGGAAAACGGCAGAGGGGAGTTGCGTACCCCCCCAGGCCCACCCCAGTCTGCCCCAGGCACCCCACCTGCCCCCAACCCACCCCACCTGCCCCAAACCCCACCCCACCTGCCCAACCCCACCTCCACCGCCCCAACCGCCCACCCCACCTGCCCCAACCCCACCTCCACCTGACCAACCCACCCCACCTTGCCCCCAACCCACACCGTGTCCCCAACCCCTTTCCCCTGTGCCATTCCCAGCCACCCAGCTGCCCCCCAGCCCCACCCTCACCCAGCCCACCCCCTTTACCCCACCATTCTGTCACCCCGTGTGCCCCACCTTCCGGGGCCGGGCCGCACCCTTCCTGCTCACGCCCGCGCCTCGCGCAAGCCCGCCGCTGTCGCCCTCATGCAGCACAGGGGAAGCGGCCAGGGGTCCACAGGCCGGTCTCCAGACATCTCGAGTGGTCCAGCTCCTGGGACACGATGGACACAGGCTTCCGGGCCTTGGGTCCGGCGTCAGAGAAGGGGGGACAGAGTAGACACAGGAGCCTGTCCCCAGGCTCCCGGGGTGGTCTGGACAGAGCTTCGGTCCATCTGGCCCTCCCGGCTCTGAACAACGATGACGTTTCTCAGCTCCTGGCCCCGCCCCCGGCGCCAGCCCGTCCCTCACCGCCAGGCCCGCCCGCTCACCGCCTGCCCACGCACTGAGCAGTTCACCAGGCTGCCTCCTTGCCCGCGATTGGGGGGTCCCAGGACCACACGTGCCGCCCCCGAGCGCAGCTCTGCCACGCCTGGCATCTCGCAGGCTGCGCACCAGCCCCCCAGTCCCGAACTTGCACGTCCTGCTGCGGGTGAGGAAGGGCAGGACAGACGGGGACGGGAGTCGGAGGGGGACCTTGCGGGAGCTCAGATGCAGGTGCATCCCTGTCCACTCACCTCCAGGCAGCCTCACCTCTGCTCCAGGACACCCTCCTCCAGGTTGTCATCTCACCGAAATCCGACTGTAGGCCTCCACGTGGGCCAGAGCCTGGGGGAGGGAGGCAAATGTGGTCGGCGCCTGAACCCACTGGAACCCATGTCTCCCCTTCCGACTTCCCCCGCGGGCGCACCAGCATGACCTAAGGGCCGACTGGCAGCTCGTGGCAGGTTCTGCTTCCTTGTATAGAACGCGCAGGTGGAGGGCTCTCAGCAGGCGCGGACAGGTGGGGTCTCTGAGGCAGAATGGGCAACGGGCAATGCCTTCGGTGAGTCCGCCCAGCTGCGTGAGAGCTGGCCACCTCTCCCCGTCCAGCTGCCTTCCAGGCCTGCCGCGCTGCGCTCGCGGTTTCCGCGGGGATCAGGTCGGCCAGCCCCTCCACCGTCGGTCAGTTCAGCTTCCGTGGGCGACAACGCGCGCCTTGGTAACTCTCCTGCCTCTGCGCCGCAGCCCTGGCACCGTGCCTGCGGGAAGGCCGCCGTCTGAGCCCCCGGTCCCAGCCAGGACACCGGGAAGCCGGGTCCTCGAACCACGCGCAACTCACCAGGGCCTGCAGGGACGGCTCACCACGGGGCCTCCGTGCACGTGGAACTCCACGCATCGGAACCCGTGAAGACTCCGGGACTGACGTGGCCGGCAAGCGGTCAGGAGGAGTGAGGAGGAGCGCAGCGTGGGCAAGCCCCGCAGGCGGGAAACCGGGTCGTGAGAGCCCCGGGAGGCTCGGGGCCGGGACGCGCTCACCTGGGAAGGCGCAGAGCACCAGCGCGCGGGTCCAGGGGCCTCCCGG